TATACTATAAAAGTTATCGAAAGTCGGGCAATCAAACAAGTTGTGGGTCAAAAATAGCCAGAAGAGTGTTCCTGAGTGTGAGAAATAGTTAGCGATTGATAACCCCATTTGTCCAGAACGACTGTTTTCGTATATTAGGTGGCGAACGCAACAAACTTATGAGTCTTCTACTACGGTTATGTGGGAAGTCAGAGATACCAGTTATATCAGACAGAGCCTAAGCTGAAAGACTGCTGAATCATATTATCAAAGTCCACTTAGGGAATTTTGCCGTTAACGTATCTCGTAGTTTTGCTGCCAAGATATCAACCATGGTGCTTGTGCTTTTAAACAAAAAGGTTAATTTCAATTACTCAGTCTGGTGAGTAGAATTTGCTATTATTGCTCTCACTAGATGACATAATTTCAGGGTCACTCACATTCTTGTTCAGTATTTCTACTCTTTAGACTAGAAACCCAGGGGAGTAGAAAGTTGCCATCAACGAACCATTTTTAAAAAACAGAAAGCAGTAACCGCAGTTTGACTACAGACTAGTTGGACCGCTTATATGGTTCGGTGGTCAATCCAAGTAAACATGAACTACTGTTCATCCGACACAATAATAGTAGCTGGTACAGTGTCGATAAAACACTGCTTACATGAATGAATGAGCTAAGAGACCTAGGAATAATTGTAAATCATGACCTGATAACAAATATCTGTTGGAAGGCAGCAGCTAGTCACTTGATAGAGCTTCTAACTACTCTGACGAAAATATTTTTCGGATTATATCCCTGCGTGAGGTCTCATCTAGCACACTTCATGTAACCAATTAATCCTTACCAGTCGGGTTTGCCGTTTGTGTGGGTATCCATTTAGTGGCAATAATTTCCACAATTTCCAGCGATTAGCAATTGAAACGTCTATATCTCTCCCTCACAATTTGCCGTATTGACATTACAGTTCTTGAATAATGATCTGGAAGTTCACACGTGTTTTCGGTTCAGCTAGAGCAACCCATCTCTGATCACACAACAAAACTGTTCAAATGCACGACAGAATAGAATAAATTTTCTTGAGTTTATAGCGCACCTGCTTTCCGATGTACAATAAACATGTAGAATGTACAATTTTTTCATCAACTTAGTGAGTAAAAGCTGGATACAAGCGCATGATTTTCATAGGGAATTCCTCATTAAGCCCTAACTTTCACTTTTGTGCACACATTATTCAGGAATTTGGGGTGCGTTGCAGCATTATGTCAACAGGGTACATATGTAGATAGGTCTATAAAATTAAAATTAACTGCCTAGTGAAAATCACACTCTTGAATGTCGCACTGACACACCAAGTGAACGGGAAAATGCCAGATATTACAATTTTATTGTGTAATGAAAAAGGATGGCTATCCACACTTGTAAAAACAGAGTAAACTCGATGAGATTTTGTTACATATATCACCAATGTAGGCGGCCATATGGATGATTTACGGTTCATTTAGGTTGAACGTGAATAGCTCAATCTCCAAACTGACATAGAAATCATGCTCCGCAGTTATTATCAAACGTGGACCACCCTTTCATTATACACAGGCATCAATGTATTTTTGACTACTGTATGGCCAAAATATAATGTAGCGACAGCAATGCTTCAGTAAAACTAAGTACAAAAACAGAGATTGGCCACTATCACATGCGCCTGTTCGTGGCGTGCAACTGATTGGTGCGCGTTGGCTTTTGTTGACATTGAAAACTACCGATGAACTTTTTGATATTCGATGACCTGACTCCGGGATGATTTAACGAAAACCCAGTGACATTTCACTGGTCATACACTGTTTTTGTCACTGGCTGTCTACGATTAGAATGCCATAATTGGACAGGCGACATCAGCCCCGTAGGTGAACAAAAAGTGTTACAGACATTTCGCGCTTGGTAACGCTACTGTCTGTAATCTAGGGTTCCAAAATCAGTCAAACCAGGAGTCAGGAATAAGTGGGTTCAAAGACACATTTGTAGGAACTGCCTAAAAATGATCTGGTGTGGATACTGGGAGTATGACCTGTAGAATTATGGTCTACTATGATATTAGTACTGCTCTAATAATAGACGTAATCCTAAATATGCAGATTTATCATGATATAACTGCCTAATCTTTAAGATCTTACGTGGAAGTTATATCATTGTTTACACCAACTCATTGCATTGTAACAAGTACCAATACACGATGGAGAACAAGCTTAGGCTAGATATAGGACAACATATTTAATATGAATAAAGGATGTGAGATAACATTCAGAAGGGACCACGCCTGCATGGCCGAGCCATGCCATCCGATCAACTCTAATTAGTTCAATTCATGGTTCCCACCTTTTTCCTTCGTTAGGTTATTCTCCCTGTTAAATGTTGAATATCTACTTTGAGGATTGTGTAGTTAGAGCCAAATGCCACTACAGACCAACTATACTAAGAAGGCTAGCACTGATGTCTCAAACCTACATAAGTTTGTTTTGAGGACTTAACTGCTACTACAAACAACAAGTTTAAACCGTTGTAAAAAGATAAATGCCTAGTCAAAGAGGTTTGTGACATATAAGACCGTTATGACACACAGAGCTTTAGTTGCTTTAGAATAATATTCTCTATGGCCATGGAATCGACAATTACGTACTTACTGAGTCACTTAATTAAAAACACCATAACTTGGTAATCATGCATCATTAATGAAGTTAAACATACATGTGAAATGTACGAATATGTTATGTCTGAAAAGTTTTTAACTAGGTCGATACGACCATCAGGTACAGAATATTAGTTCAACCTGCTTAATAAGTAATCAGTCAACTGCATGACATTAATTATTGTGAAACTGAAGAATCATGCAGATAGTATCTTGTCAGTTTCCTCAGGAGTTGAGTAATCGATACTGTCAGCAGTAACACATGTTCTGGAAAAACGGAGAACAAAGAGGTGTTGAAAAAAGCTTAAAGAACTGCAATTAAGTAAACTGGCACAAAATCAGGGTTTCCGTAGAATAAGAGAGTGGCTAAATTAAACTTAATCCCTTCGTCAAACAGGAGTGCTAGAGGTGACTCGATCACACTTAATAAATTACTTAGTGATGAGTTTGCGTCTGACATTCCCTTATCTTTCTTCCCTTGCAAAAACATAATTTACAAAAGCGTTTCAGAATGTTCACACGGTCAGAAACAACAAATTGTTTCCTGGCTACCGGCACTCCTATTTAATTAGCAACGAGCGAAACTCCCGATCTCGACGCGTGGTTGAAGCTTCGCCTTTTGACGCCTTCAAAAAACAGATCCATAGAACTATGATTAATTCAAGTTATCCAGGTTCATGTCCTTCCGGAAAATAAAAAACGAAACAGAATGTTTAATGAAGCAGAGTCCATCATAGCTTGTGGAAATAACTAAAATGGATTACATTCCACCAATGATCATTGACCTCGACTAGTAGGTCGGATAGTACTAGTCGATAGGTCCAACTAAGTTATAAACCGATCATTTGACCTATACAAGTCACTTAAATCGAACAGTTTATAGAAAAGCCTTGGCAAACATGTACTCTCCTGTGGTTACCACTCTCTCTTGGACCAACTATGTCTGATACATATCTCAAAAGTTACCACGGCTATCACTAGCGCATAACCAGTAGCTACTTCCTATCTTTTATTATAATCTCCGTTCTCCTTCAATCCCTTTAACTATGTTTCCATATTAAAAAGAATCGACATCCAGCCTGGTAATGTGATATCCAATAGTATTCAGAATCCCTATCTTAGGACAAACGTACTCGCTCAACTATATGATATACAAATCCACAAACAACTATCACCAGAATTAGTGCAGTTGAATGACTAATCTACCGCCTGTTTAAAATTACCATATACCTGAAAACATACCAAAACAATAAGAAGTTAGAGCAAAGAAAACAATTGATCTATACAATCTCGTGCTAAGATATTGGATACTGTACATATTTGAATTGGTGTATCGATTTTGGGTTATTGGCGTTCCTTCGAGTTTGTTGCATGTTTTTCAGTCAAGTGTTTAGTACGACGTATTAGATTTCTTATCAGCCTGCTCTCAGTGGTGTATTAACTATTTCTTGTGTCCCTTATACGGTTTCAAGGCAGCTTTGTTGTGACGAACTAGTACGATCTCACACAGTGACAACCAATTTTTGAGATCATATCAATAATACTGGTACTACGAATTGAATTTCATTGCTGTTCTCAATAGTTGCGATATTCTTTCTTACGTTGGATCAGCATCGTATCGTGAACTATCAGTGTTTACCCATTTCCTACTAAACTCTCGACGTTATAACGTCCTTATAAGGCCAGATATATCTACCAAATCTTACGATAGTAAGATTTTCAACTTAATTATCGCCGTTATTTGCCATCTTGAAACTGGTCACTCCTATTCTTTATTAATTATATTTTGTTGTCTAAAATTTGTACTCTAGGTTTTTGACGGTTTCACACTCAACTGGGTTTCGAAGTCGTCGGTAGTTTTTGACATAATTAATAGTGTATCAAAGCCCTGTTTTCTAGTAGCTGTAAAATACACTGCCGATTAAGAGAGCGGGAAATTTGTAGGGGTAAACTCCAAGTGGTGAGTATACATGTTAGATTGATATCTGATGCATCATGACTAGTTGGGTAAAAAGTCTTACGGATATCTGGTTCGAAATAATCAGGTTTAATTAAAAAACCGACTCATTTGTGGCCCGGCAATATTTACTCTGTTTACTCTGAAATTAAGCTGACAGAGATGCACAAACTCCACTTGTTTTATTTGTATTTCTCCTGCTCTTATTAAGTGTAGCGCATATTGTTTTATGTAGTAAACTGGAATCAAGTTTCGATTGATTGGTTTTGCTCCATTTTATTGGTGTTGTGTGATAAGTATTGGTTTCGAGCTTTCTGTCTAAATACTAAAGATGAGCTTACGACATTAGGAATCCTCATGGCTTAATGGTATTTCAAATTTTAGATGACTGAAAGCCGTTTTCCGCCTGATAAAAGGATTATTTACATCTCTCCTAAAGAGCTTTCAAGTCTGCCAACAGATGGACCGATTTATGTACTATCAACTACAGAAAACCCAGAACCCAACCCTTTAGCAAGTTGTAGCTCAACTCAACTTGGTGCATCTAGCCAGGATTCATCTTCGGTCACTTGTTCAACGTTTGGTTCAACTTCATCTACCAACAGTTCAAATTATTTTAATAACACATTAGTTCCATATTCAGTCCCTTATCACGCTAACATTCCATATCCTCCTCCTGTGGTTTCAACAAACTTAATTCCTTATGGATTTTGCCCTCCTTTCCAACTTCCACCTTTTGTCGGTTCACAACCAGTTTCATGGGTAACACCTACTTTCCAAAACCATACCTTATATCCCCCAAGTGCCAATGTATTCCCACCATCTGGTCAGTACATTTACCCCTACCAAAACTTCCCTACTTTCCAACAGAATGTTTCATCAAATTCATACTTTCAAACATTCAATCCGTACAAACCACCTCCGTCGTTCAGTTTACCTCAGGTAACTTCGAAGCCCAGCAACACTTCTCTCATTCATAATTCTGCTGCAGTTGTTACTATTAGTAATACCGTTACATGTGTCGCGAGTACTATGAATACCAACAATACCAAACATTCTTGTTCATTCAATCGATCAAACGAAGAAAATGGGTATGCGCATCTGTCTTATTCTAAATGAAAATTTTACTATGCTAGTAGATATTACCAAGCAACTGACTAGTTGTTTACTCGGCTTAGTTATATATGACAACCCTTTCTCCAAAACCTATTACATGTTTAACATGGTGCTCTTCTGTTGACGTAAGATAAAATCATAGGTGAGATTTGTCTCTCAATATTATAAGAAGAGGGACTGGATTGTAACTCAGCCATATGTACTTCTAACTATTTCGAAATATATTCCCATCCTATTTTATTTTATGCAGTCTAGTAGTATCACTAATGACTTATTTATTTTATTTGAACACAAATATTGATACAAAGGGGCACCGAATACATGTGCGCTACACAAGTCACTTGATTTGTGTGTGGGCTGTGATACTGCCCGGGTGCCCAGACTAAAGCAGGTGGTTTTCTTAGGGGGCTACACCCAGAGCCTTCGACCTAAGGATCTGGTTCACAAGACAGCGGAGCAACGTCAGGAGATGCATTCCTGTGGTGGCCGGTGACCAATGATTGGTTCATACACCATTTGTTCCTTCAGGATCCTGGGGCCCACGTGCGCCATTGGTTTGAAATCAAGGTTTTTCAACTCCCCTAGATGGACCCTCCGTGTTCACATACCCGGTTAAAGCGCTAGACATTCGCTTGTCGTCCTCTTACTTTTGTGAACGACACCGCCGCAAGGAAGTGAGAAATACTTCTCTGGCAGTGGCTGTATGCACGTAGCCATGTAAGAGCCCCCGAATGCTCTGGTACGGCCGAGAGTGGGGAGAGTCCGCTCTCCCTCTCGAAATGCTCTCAAATGGCCACGCGTATACAGCCCCTGCCAGGGAAGTCCTACTCACTGCCTTCTCGTGGCGGGGGTGTTGTTTACAAAAATGAGAGGACGAAAAGCGAATGTCCGGCGCTTTAACCGGACCCCAAACCAATGGTGCACATGGGCTCCAGTATCCTGCGGGAACAAATGGCGTATGAACCAATCGTTGGTCACCGGCTACCATGGGACTGCATCTCCTTACGATGCTCCACTGCCTTGTGGGTCAGACGTTCAGGTCAAAGGCTCGGGGTGTGGCCCCCTAAGAAAACCACCTGCTTCGGTTTGGGCACCCGTGCAGTATCACAGCCCTCACACAAATCAATTGAGATTTGTGTGGCGCATATGTATTTGGTGCCTCCCTGTACCAATACCTATGTGTTAAAATAAATAAAATAATAAATAAATAAGCCGTGTAAGAATATTTCGAGAGGGAGAGCTAACCCTACCCACCCTCGGCCGTGTCGGGGAATATTAAAAGTATGGGGGTAATAATATATTTCTCGTGGTTGTACGAGGTTAATATGTTTCATTCTTTAATCTGAAAGGCAAAACTTCATGATTAGTGCTATGTGGGAACAAAACGTCTTCCAGTATGTTGTACTTAGCTACTATTAAAAATTATTCATTTTTATTTTGTCCAAATAGAATCAAAAACGTAATTCATTCTACCGCTCGCATTTTGAGAGTTTAGTAAGTTTTTCAGCTACCTTTTGAAATACCAGTTAAGAAGTTACTTGACTTTTTCCGTAAATTTTTCTTTTCCTTCTACTTTGTTGTCTTCTAACAGATCTTCAGAACCGAATAACTCGAAAAGTGAATCAACGTCATCAAAACAATCACATCCTCTTCGATATACCAAACTGATCTACGCTTCGGAACTTGATTACTTTGCTTTTGACAGTAGTGTAAGTAAATTTTTTTATTCCTTAGTAAAACTGAGTAAATTATCAAGTAGCATACATGTTTTATGCTCATTTTCGTGGTGATACATACTGTTGTTTTATAAATTAGTCACCAAAAAGTGAGCAATGCCGTTTTTAAATTCTTTGTGTCGTACAAATTTCAATAAACAAATTTATTTATTTATTTTAACACATAAATATCGGTACAAGAAGGCACCAAATACATATGCGCCACACAGATCTCATTCGATATGTGTGAGGGCTGTGATACTGCCCGGGTGCCCAAACCGAAGCAGGTGGTTTTCTTAGGGGGCCACACCCCGAGCCTTCGACCTAAACGTCTGATCCACAAGGCAGTGCAGCATCGTGAGGAGATGCAGTCCCATGGTAGCCGGTGACCAACGATTGGTTCATACGCCATTTGTTCCCGCAGGATACTGGAGCCCATGTGCACCATTGGTTTGGGGTCCGGTTAAAGCGCCGGACATTCGCTTTTCGTCCTCTCATTTTTGTAAACAACACCCCCGCCACGAGAAGGCAGTGAGTAGGACTTCCCTGGCAGAGGCTATGTACGCGTGGCCATATGAGAGCATTTCGAGAGGGAGAGCGGACTCCCCTCACTCTCGGCCGTACCAGGGCATTTGGGGGCTCAATAAACAAATAACTCAATATATTGACTTGAATGTGTAGCATAATAGTTAAATGTTCTGAAGTATGCGCTGGGTATTTAAAGGTAACCTGTCATGTACCTTGTCATATATATATGATGCCCCTTTGTACCAATGTTTGTGTTCAAATAAATAAAAAATAGTCTTTCCTGATGGAATTTATGTTCTTTCCAATTTTCATACACATTTTGTTAGCTATTGATGTTTATCATCATTTCTACAGTAAAGATTACATGATGTATGTTACATAACTAAAAGAAAATCAAAAGGTTATAACCTGAATAACTCAACTTTTTATCTGTGTTGTCTGTTAGACGATAGGTAGATTCCCTGTAGCAGAATGTATTGGATACTGTTTTGTCTAAAGTTTGCGTTCATTTACTGCATAATTCAACTTCACTTCGAACAAGTTTACTCATTCATCTCTAAGCTCAATAATAACCCTACATCTAAAACGCTGGGACCGACTAATTGAGAAATATAAGTATCACGTTCAAAACGATTTTTCGAGACGTTTTATCATACATTTTTAATGAGGATCTGTTTCATTGGCTTGGACCGATGCACATATGTGCCTGGTCCTACGTTGTAACTGACTGACTGACTCATTGGCTTACGCTGAATATAATTATGTCCTAAGTCTTCGATCTCATGTCTAAGAGACGAAACGATGCTTTGTATAATAGAGCGTCATGATAGACATCATTTAAAGTTAATTGATCATATCGGAAAGAAATAGAAGAGGAAAGCATATGATATAATAAGCAAGAATAAAAAGTGTTAAAGGAGGCTGTTCAAATTAGTATACAACGAAGATAGGTTATGCTCATTTACAAGATGCATCATACTATTCTAAATCAATAGAAATTGAATTGACTCGTTCACTGGGTAATCGAGTATGAATCACATTCTAAGTTTAAGGGTTAATGTTACTACCCGGTTGCCGAAATCGAAGTGGAACGGGGCCCGAACCTGGGACATAGTGGCTATAAATTAAACACCCTCACCACTAAGTCATCGCCTCAAGTCATACGATTTATAAGAAATCTAGTGAGAAATCGGCAAAATATAGGTATTGGTTTTTGTTTTTAGTTATGTTTGATAAAATCTGAAGCTAGTGAATCGTGTGACCGCCTAAATCCTATCCAGGGAGTCGTAATGAGGTAAAAATCACCAACACAACTATCCTTTATTCTATAGGACCATATCATAGACTGTTTATTTTCGCTCTTTTTTACATATTTCCAGCATTAGAAATTAATGTGCAGTATGAAAGACACTGAGATGACATACGTAGGACACTCTCACATTACTAAAGTTAATGTTTCTTGGAAGATAAACTCATTTAGTCATCCTTTTCACCATATCGAACCTTAAGATTACGTCCACGGTGTTGTTACCGAACAGAGGGATTATTCTTCATAGATAACTGTGATCGGATTCCTATGGTTTTCTAGCATTCTTAACTCGGTTTCACATGTATATATCAGTACTGCCTTTACGATAGTGTTGAGTACCCGATATTTTATTGGTCAAACTAATATCACAATTGTATCGAAGAAAGCCTAGAATGACATAAACGACTTTTCGTTTGTAATTTACTTAGAATAATCTCATCTATCACACCTCTACCAACAATCACACAACAACATAAACATACTGACTATTTTGAGCTCCTTACTGCGATAAAGCTACTGTATATGGAGGCTCTTCTTAGCCTTGTAAAATCTCTTGACAGTCCAACGGTACAAAATAGATGTGGTGCTTATTTTCATGCAATGACTCAAATGTTCTACATACGAGACGATTTTTATATTATCTCTGACTGTTCTACTGAAGAATAAGTCTGTTACCTGATAACATGTGTATTAGCAAAAAGAACCATAAGTGTCAACAATAATACGTTCAGGCATAAAATGATATGTGTTAGCGGGACATAGATTGGATTAAATCATGCTCATTGCACGCTTGCGTTGGCGCACGCTGATTGGCTAATTCTTATCCAATCAGCGCTAGGCGATGCTTGGAGAAGACTCTAGAGTCTTCGTATGTAAAAACTATAAATGTACTAACGGTTTTCCTATTGTGCTTCTTTCTTCCATCTAACTTTGTTATTTGGAATATAATCTCTTTCCTGTTCAACCGTATTCTGATCTGGGGACTTGTCGAGTGAATTGGTGTCCGTGACTACTAAGCAGTAGGAATAGCTGGGTTATAACCGTAAGAGAGAATTATAACAATATGTTTATAATTTAAAACGAAATAAATGAATCTATTATAGAGCGGGATCTTATGTTTCGATTGAAGGATTTTCGCTTTTCAAAATCGATGAGTAAAATGTTGTTCGATATTTGGTATGTCATGATACAGTGTATCTAAGTAATGGTTACTAACACAACTGAATTATTGGTGTAAGCCCTCAGAATGATTTGAGATAAAAAAACAAGACCACTTGCCAGAAGTATAGGTTTCCTTTGTGTAAAAAAGTCATATGCTTATGTAAAAAATATTAACACAAAAAGCGACATGGCAAAATGTCATGGGCGATTGGATAAACTCAGCTGGTAGGTCACTTACTCTCTAATCAATTAAGTCCTCATTGTTTGACCTGATTCTAAACCATCATATCAAGATCTGTCTGATCTAATATGATAAATTAATTTTTTATCAATTTCAATAACTAATTCTTCATCACGTTCAATACCTCAACTAGAAAAAGAATTCCATCAGTTAATAAAAAAAACCGTGTGAGTAATATCATGAACGTCCATACTCACATATATACATTAGGGGAATATCTCGTCTTGTTATGTGTATATTAATAACGACCATAGTATCTAAACTTTCAAGTACGAATTTATTTACTCGATTTTGAGCGATCGTTTGTGTTAGGGTTATTGGTACTATTACTGCTACTACTAACACTACTAATACTAGTGCTAATGTTAATGGTAATACTACTACTACTATATGTCTGTACAAATTTGAATAGTTGGTGTGGGGTGCAGACCTGCTACTTGTTAGTTAAAAATTAAGTGTTTCAATCATCAAATCACTGATGTACACGTCAGATAAATAATTTTAGTGCGTAGAAAAACCATGTCATTTAAATAAATTAACCAATTAACCTTTCCCAGTCAGCTCGTTAATATATAACAAATCTACTACCGAACACTTATTATACTTGGACTATTGCTTTCTTTTATTTTCAAATAGACTGGATCGTATGTAGCTACAAGTCAACTTATTGATCTGGAAGATCGATTTGAAAATGAGGTGATCGCTCGACGTCATCGTGTTACTTTAAATGATCCAGTAAGGCAGCCTCCTGAACGTCCTACATTATCAGATAGTGGTGAGTAGTAGTAAACTCTACTCTTTTGTCTATGGCATAGCTCCAGTTAAAGAGAACAAAGTAAATTGTTTCGGAAGAAACAGTGCGCAGGTTTTATTGGGTCCCACGTGATCGGGCCAGAATAATAGAAAAGCAGTACTATGATTTATCTTCCTAGTCCGATTATCGATTAGTTCATCTATACTGCCAGTAGGACCGGTGAACGTCTTATTTTTTGATTAACATCGATCGACCCCTGGCTGAGGTCCTAGAGATGGTGCAACACAGTGGTTAGAGACGTTATCAGATATGGCTCAGAATAGAAGCCAGTGACGATCCTGCTGTAACCTTCCCTTGCTTTCCTCATAAAAAGTGGTCGCCTCTTCCTCAACTGAAAGATTTCTTCTGATTGTACCTTTCCGTTTCCCCTATTATTATTATTATTATTATTATTATTATTATTATTATTATTATTATTAGTGTTATTATTAGTATTATTATTATTACACTACCTTACACTAATCTGTTCGTTATTTTTTTTAACACACCTTTTTTTCCTCTCTTCAAATTTTCATTGTTTTGTGTGGCGTATATATATTTGGTGCCGTCGTGTACCAATATTTATGTGTTCAAATAAATAAGTGTAGTGGACGCCACTCACAAAGCTGCTTGTAAGTAGTGTCTTGCGGAACGTTGCCTCAAAGTTGTCTGACGGAACAAAGAGTTTCAGTACATTAAAAGTACAGCGTTAGCAGGACACTTGGAAATCAGATGAGAAAACTGTTCAGATTCCAGAATACACCGAAAGATGTAAATGGACGATTGAAGGCTATGTATACGTATAATGCAAATGGTCTGTAACTTCTCATAATATGCATTCCTTCTGCATATTACCTTCATTTACAATAGCAGTCGGTGCAAATTAATTACACAGTTACTTCACAGTCTCATTGCATCAATTCTATAGTTACGTAAATTGCTATGAATTCAACTTTGGTAAACTTGGTCATCACAAGATAAGTTTAAATGGCATAGTATCTATTTCATCTGGTCAGTTGGTTAATTACACACATTTATTTATCTGTCTATTTATTTATTAACAGAGCATCGACGTAATTCCCGTGCTTCACATCTTCATCGTTCGCAAAAGTCGACCCACAAAAGTGATACAGTGAATTCAATGTTTGACAATAATTCCGATACTGATGATGACTACTTGGCGGTTATTGGTGATAACGCAGAAACTTCAAAAGAAGTTTACTTATCGACTGAATCTATAAATAAGGTATTCTTAATTGATTGTTGCAACACTTATTGATACTTTTTATCATTGCTGATGTTATTTTGTAAATAATACTATATACATTTGATGCTCACATCATATTCGTCAGCAATCGTTTGGACTGAAAATGAAAAGGCTTAGAGATGTTTACATTCGATTGAGTTATTCAAGTAAATAGATTGGTGGCATTCAGTAGTTAAAGAATTCGTGTTTCATCTATTAGGTCATTAATTTAAACTATTCTTCATTTATTTCGGTTCTTATAGACGGATTATAGTATTACTGCCCTTCTCACTAACAGTACTGCTCAACGTTTATGAGTATCGACACGACATCTATGGTGCATTTTAATTGGTCGGTAGCCTATGTATCACAGAACCCAATAATAAGGTTAATCATAATAGCTAGTTCTCATTAGAGACTGATGTCAGTATTAAAACCATGGTACATTGGATAGCAAATTTTTTTGTAGTTCAAGATTGCTTCTCTGTATTTCAAATTTAGCCGTGATTCCAGGACACTCAGTAAGGAAAATACCTCTACACTAATAAGTGCAACTCGAATGGCTTACATTTTAAACTGCAGTCGATTTTCGATGAACCTCAATTATCATCCATTCTTATCTGTAATAAGTGTCTCTCAATATGACTTGTTTTGATTGATGATAAAGGCTTGATATAAAAACCAGGATTTCTCAGTTACTGGCTGTGGTGGTTTGGTTAGGCCATGCATTATGTATGTGTCCCCAGCCACTCTGAACTGTGAGGTAGTGTTTCCTGGTGTATTAGTAAGTTGAAATAAAATAACTCACGTGCTGGTAACTTCTTTCAGTACATATCCCATCTCTTTTACAAAAACACACTTTACTCGATTCCATGCTAATCATTGTTTTTTATATTACTTTAAATTACAGAACTTATCCATCGATCATAAAAAACATTCAAAATCATCATCATCTAACTCTCATAATCATTTACGTAAACATAAAGTCAATAATTATGAATCTATTTGTGCATCTAATAACAGTATTAATAACACGAGTAATAATAGCATTTTAAATTCTGATTGTCACACTGTCAATGGTCATTCCATAGGTCAACGTAGTATAAGACAACAACGTGAAGTCGCTTATAAAATTGAACATCCTAATCGTTTACATCCTGATATTTGGCATAATGAAGCTAACGAGTTCAATGATGGTCCAGCTTGTTCTTGTAAACCGAAATATCGTATCGGACCATTACACAATCAATATGAAGGTGAACAGGTAATGTTAATATAATTTTTTTGTACTATACGGTTATACTAATCATAATGATATAGATCATAAATGTCTATATGTCATATTTTTGTTATATAGAGAAGGGCCATATATATTTTACTGTCCATGTACCCCCAAATGCCCTGGTACGGCCGAGAGTGGGGAGAGTTCGCTCTCCCTCTCGAAATGCTCTCACATGACCACGCGTACATAGCCTCTGCCAGGGAAGTCCTACTCACTGCCTTCACGTGGCGGGGGTGTTGTTTACGAAAATGAGAGGACGAAAAGCGAATGTCCGGCGCTTTAACCGGATCCCAAACCAATGGTGCACATGGGCTCCAGTATCCTGCGGGAACAAATGGCGTATGAACCAATCGTTGGTCACCGGCTACCATGGGACTGCATCTCCTCACGATGCTGCACTGCCTTGTGGATCAGACGTTTAGGTCGAAGGCTCGGGGTGTGGCCCCTTAAGAAAACCACCTGCTTCGGTTTGGGCACCCGGGCAGTATCACAGCCCTCACACAAATCAATTGAGATTTGTGTGGCGCATATGTATTTGGTGCCTCCTTGTACCAATACCTATGTGTTAAAATAAATAATAAATAAATAATAAATACTGTCCATGTAATAATTGTCTTGTTTTTTTCCGAATTTACAACGAAGAATAATAATAACTATCCAGTAGTAAGGAATCACTAAAAGGCGAGTTCAGTGGTTAGAGATTTCGAATTTCAACCACTAATTCAAAGGTTTGTACCACATCCCACGTACTTCGGTCCTGATAACCGGATAGTATCACTAGCCGTCAATACCATTTACATGAATCTGTACGTTCTAAGTGAGTTAATTGAAAAATCAGTCTCGAAGGATGAATATTAAAGACCACAAAACAAACACTAGGTCTTTGTTTCTTAATTTGTCATTTCTGACTATTTTGACTTGATTTTTTTAACTTTTCTCTGTGCTTGATGCGATGATATGTAGGAACCTTGACTGATCGGAATTTTTTTCTAGATTCCACTACTTTGTTTATTGTTGATTGAATTCTAATGAAGCAGTTGCCCATGACTAAACTTTACGTCATCTTCAGACAATTTTTCCCATTTATAAATTTGAATAAGATAATAACGACGATCTCTGTAGAATAATATTCATTCATTAACTTTGTAAATTCTCGACTACTTACATCTAGAAATAGTTGTATTGATGATCGACAAACGGTGTACATAATTTATACTATGATATCAGAAAGAATAATATGAATATTGTCGAAGGAAATGCATGGTAACATTTCACAGAAAAAATTAACTTTAAAAATCACGCAAAAACCATTACAAAAAAGGTTGATTAGAGGAATAAAGTGAGTAGGTCTGGGATAAGACACGAATGAAGAAAATAAACTTATCACTGAGACTCAAACATGAGAACCTACTCAACTGAGTATTAGGTTAGATAGTAACACCGCTGGTTGCCTGCTTAGTGGTCTAGATGTTAAGCGTTCGCGCGAGGCTGAAGGTCCTTGGTACGAGTCTCACGTGCCGGACCTTGGATGGGTATTTCTAAGAAGTCCCACACTGAAACGAAGTGGCCTCCAATACTTCCAGGTTTCCAATGATGATCTAGCATTAATCGGTTCATTATCTCAATGAGTGTTGGGAACTGAGGTCACTGGGGTAATGCTAAACTGACAACAGTATCTTTTCGAATGCATAAGTTCAGTTTAATCCTTTTGACAGCAATAGTTTAGCTGAAATGCAATAAATCCAAAGTTCTCACTGATTATTTTTAAAGGATTTTACAAATGATTTACTACTGAGTATTGACCAATATCATGACTGTTTGGTTCTTTTAGTCTTAATCGAATCCTGGGGATGATTTCGAAATATCAGTGTCGTGCCCATTATTGAGTAGATTAGAGGTAACTGCACTGTTCAAAGTGGGTCAACTTATTAGTCTCAATTTTCGCGAAATGTACTCGGTTTAGGAAGTTGAATAGTAGTATATCAGCACTAATTCTTAAATAGTTATTGATCAATGCCCAGTACAATCACCTGTGGTTTGTAAATAAATTACTTTTATTCTCCTTACATTTGAATTTGAATCCTACTGGTTTGTAGGTTCAAACTTCACTTCGATCACTTTGGTTCATCCATCTGACTAGTATTAATAGCTCTCGCTCTCATGCACGCAAAGTATGGTTGTTCTTGATTTATCCAATTACATCAGTTAAAATTAATCTATATTATCATTACTCAGTTATTTCAGAAAAAACCCTATTTCAGAATTCACATATGCTAACAGAAACTGGTCAATATTTATGTCTAAATATCAACAAATAAGCATATCTGTTGTTATCTAATAACCTCTCGACTTAGTAGCTTAGTGGACGATAACAGCGTTTAAAGTTATAGGTACTGGGTTCGGGTCCCTTCCTGATCACATAGTGGGATGTGACAGGTATATCCAGCTAGTGACGAAACCCGTGTCCTAGATTCCTTTAAGAAAGCCATAATCTAAATTTACCAAAGTACTCTTAAGGAAATGGCAATATCAAGGCATTCTCTTATGATGTACATATTCCCACAATGTCTTTGATCAGTAACGGTATTCAGTCCTGAATATCAACAAGTAGATAATAAATAAATATAACACTTAAATGTCTATTTATTGTTTTGTATTTAAAAAAATAAATCAATATGATAAATTAACATCTATTTATTTTTAATATTTATCTGTCTATTTTTTTAGCCTATTCCGCTATGTATTCCAGAATCCAATAATCATGATCGTCTTTATCATTATCGTGTGATTATATCACCGACAACTAATTTTGTTCAACCAATCCCGTCAAAAATTACTCATAATGAACATGATTATCTATTTGATGGCTTTTCACTGTTTATGCATTATAAATTAGATAAGGTGGATCTCATTCGTTGTGAATCTTGATTTTAATCATTTTAATAATTAATTCATTAATCTTTTTAAATACTATAGCACTTCATGATTGTGTTTAATGCCTCTGTTGTATATTCATTTCAAAGATCATATCCCCTATTTTTCTTGCTATATCTCCCAATATCCTGAGAATACCGTATTATCAAAACTTCCTAATACCGACTAGATAATTTCGCACAGAATTGACACTAACCACTTCTTGACTTTGATGTATGATTATGCTTCACCACATGTGGAGTATTTAACGTCTGATACAATCCTGTTGACTTCTGTTTTTATAGATACTCAATGAACAACACAATATTTGGTTAGTGGACTCGAAAAGATCACTGGTTCAGATAACTTAAAATATTACAGTATTGTGCATTCATTAAAACTATCATACATTAAAGTAATTAATTTTTAGCAGATTACAATTTAAGAATTTAAAGTATCTCATATTACATCGGAAAATCAAAGTCGATTGAATCGATTTTCCACCTAAACTATATTGCAGCTGATTTGTATTCTTTCATAAGGACTACTTAAGAATCCTACCGTTTTTGATATAACAGATCAGTCAACTCGAAGCTTTCCCTACCTATCGAACAGTTTGAGTACATTTTAATGTATACTATGGTGAATACATAACTGCTAGCCACGAAATAGACTAATGTGCATGCAACCGTTACTTTACTGCGTTGCATATTAGACTTCTAGGTAAAGGCTCGGGGAGTGGCCTAAGAAAACTACCTCACTCAAATCGAATGGTGGTGTGGCGCATATATATTTAGCGCCCCTTCATACTACTATATATGTTTTAATAAGTAAATTTAAGACCAACCTATAACACAAACATCTACGTATAATTATAATATTTTTCTCCCTCCTTATAATCAAACTAAGTACATGTGGATCTAAACAGTTTACGACTTGTCGTTTTTATTTGACAGATATAATAAATTACCAAATTAAAGTAACTGATTTATTAAATACAGATTTATTTACTAAACTCTACACGCACAATGAAGATTGAGAAATCGTTCTTAGAGAAAGTTTGATCATTATGATTATCCGAAATAGGTTTTCAATGAAATGTGCGGACCGATGGTGGGGAATAAGAAGCACACTAGACTTTCAACCATTATCGGGTTATTATCCAGTTCAAAACTCAGGTCATAGTTGAATTATCGTTACGGTTAGGAGTTTGGATTAGCATTAGAATTTAGGTTTAAGATTGGTAGTTAAGATATAGAATATTGGTTAGAAGTTAGGAGTAATCGTTAGAAATCGAGTAAAAACGCTTTTCTAGTCACATGAATGAATACTTTTACAGTTGGTCCTTTTATTTTGAATGTTCAAAACCTTTTAATTGCTTTCAAACAATCATAAATTATAATTCCTGTGCTTTAATCTCTCCATGTTATCTATTTTTATGTATCGTAGTACCTGAATATTGATGATTTTAAATAATATATATACCAACTATCTATCATCAGATCTTGGATTTCATTCACAGATTCAATAGCCATTACCTGTGATCTGATTGGTTTACCAACAAAGTATATTTTAAAAATCCCCATATTGTGAGCTAGAAGAACACATAAGCGAACAATATTGTTTTCAATTAGGTTTTCATCAGGTTTTACTCTAATATACAATGATATTTATGTGCATATATGAAATTATTAAACCAGTAAAGGCAGTTTATGAGTCTTCAATAATAGTGGAATAAATGACATGAAATAAACATAATAAACAGAAAGTACAGATTGATAGTGCGATGATGACATGTGTACTGGTTGTGATCAGAATATCAGAGACTTGAATCAATATCTCAGAATTGAAAATAAGTCAATGACTTGAAAAAATATAAATGCTGAAATAACATTCATGAAAACCATAAAATTACGTAATGAGAAGTATAATTGGACAATGAAGCGTATTTTTGGTTGTTATATCCATATAAATATAATCGTATATTAGAGTGAAGCCTGGTGAGGATTTAATTTAAAGTATATTTTTACTGTTTCTTTCAAATTATATTTCTTTTCATTCAATTTTCAACGATCAACAATAGTATTTCAGCTCTTTTGTTAATTCTGCTTATTAATTTATGGAAATTTAACAGTCATTTTGTTGTATTCAAAGTCACCTTTGTATTGTTATATTTAAATTTTAGCCACCTCCATGTCAAGTTCTACGTTTCAATCTGTTATATGATATTTTCCCGATTGAAGAGGAATTCCCTCAGGTTAGACTTTTTTTCTATCTGTTTCTACTATACTTGGTATTGTGTTGTTGATTGTGATGATTAGTGTTTCACAATCACTACTAATCCTGACTGAGGAATTGTGATAAACTGGAAGATCCCAGTCATATGTGGCTTTGATTCGTACCTCAGGGTCTTCTCATAAACTGACCAACTTCACTTTCACTCCATTCCATAGTCGGCAAAGTATGCCCGATGTAGAAGTCACTAGGATAACATTCATAACACATCTTCAAACCACCGAAGCCGGTATTTCAAGATGATACCACCAAGTGAGTTATTGTCACTGTGCCTGAACACCGGACCTCCACGTTAATATGATACTGCCAATGGATATCAGCAGTTCTTCGGAGACAACGATGATCGAAACATAGTCGTAGAACATCTTCAACTTGGAGAGACCAGATTTCACATGTTATGGTACAGAAGTGGTCTCACCGACGCGTTGTAGATCCAACTTCTGACATCTAGACGAATATTACGACAACTCTAAAGGTGCTCCAGATTGGAATGAGTATATCTGCCTTTCATTGTATGTAGATTAATCTAATTACTAACGCCACCATCAACACTTACACAACTACCTAGATACATGATTTTTTCGATTACTTCTAACGGATTACCACAAAGAATGTGTAAGTGTTGACTCCTACCAGTATTGCAGAAGTACTTTACATTTAAAAGATTTGTAGTGCATACCGTAATTTATCCTTGAATTTTTTAAATATTTTTATTTTTCAGTATTTTACTGTTCGTTCACTAGATCTACTCACACAATATGTATTCATTGAATTACTGGAGTTGTTAGATTTAAACTGGAAACCATATGGAGCAAAGGAGAGCTGTAATGTGATACATTTAATGCCAAGATTTATACGTATTTTGTCAAATACTGTTACTACTACCAATGATAATTTTTCGATTACAAATACTGCCACTATTGCTAACAATAGCATTTCAGTAGATAACAGTAAAGAACATAATATCGAGTCAAATAAATCAATCGTTTGTGTCGATGATAATAGTCATAATAATACAATAATTGGGGAATTACTACCCGTTCATGTAATAATGCGACACTGGTTAAAAGAGGCACTGACTCCGGTAATTAATATGATGGAATTATCTTCAATACAGCGTATGACTACAATTGAATGGTCAAATCATATCGCTAATTTACGAGGCACATTAGCTTGCTTTCCAGGCAAAGTAAGTTGGTTATTGGTCGAATTTAAATCAGTCGTTGTTGAGATATGTACATCTTATGCGGATTGCTTTTATGTAGTCAATTTGTGACAATTTCTACGGAATATGTTGGGACGGCTCCCAAAAAGCACGATGAAGCTTCCTAAGGCTCTAAAGGTGTTAGCGGGACATAGATTGGATTAAAGCATGTTCAATGCACGATTGCTTCGGTGCACGTTGATTGGCTAATTCTTGCCCAATCAGCGCTAGTCGATACTTGCAGAATACTCTAGAAATATTCTCATGTAAAAACTATAAATATACTAACGTTTTTCCTATTGTGCTTCTTTCTTCCATCTAACCTTGTTATTTGGAATATAATCTCTTTCCTGTTCAACTGTGTTCTGGTTTGGGGCCTTGTCGAGTGAATTGGTGTCCGTGACTACTAAGCAGTAGGAATAGCTGGGTTATAACCGTAAGAGAGAATTATAACAAAAGGAGATGAAGAGATTCCATCCAATCATAACTCGATAGGACCTAAGATATCAAAGTGGCATGCCATTATTGGACAGTTGTATAACTTTCCTACTTGCGGATTATAATGATCTCATATCCTACAATAAGAACCATAAATACCCCTGTTTTTCTGTACAATTTCGACTTCTCTTGCTTCTTCCGTCTCTTAATTTGTGATTTTGAGGTTCAACACGTTTGAGTGCTGATATTTGTATACCGTATTCTGCCGTAATCAAGTAGAGGATGTAATAGAATAGATGGGTTGTGGCTATCAATGAAATTCAGGATGCACATTTCGTCTTTTTTAGGGCTTGTTATCTGAATGCACCTGCATACCAATGTTGATGTTCACATTAAAACTTTTTAGGTACATCCAGCTGAAGAGTTTGAAATGGGATGAGATGCACGTCCTCAACTCCACTGCTAGGTATGATCTATCTATTCTATTCAACTACTCAATAGGATTATTGAGACTATGTCGTAGTAAAAATCAAAGTTCAAAATAGAGGAAAAACTTATATATTTCATTGATCAACAGTTTGAATTATTGATGTTTACTTTAATCCATTTCCTATCATTTGGATTGTATACTGTTAATGACTAGTAATTGTATTCTGATAACTTATTACTTTTCTCAACTCCTCTCTTTGCAGAAACCATCAACTATACGCATAGATCAATTAGATCGTCAATCTGTAACAGGTCAATCAAATGAAACCATATTAATTTATCCACTCATAGTACACATGACTTATACACCAATGAAATTAAGTTTAACACGTGAACCAAAGTATAAATGTGTGCTGAAAAATTTTATGAAATTACAATATTTAATGATGAATAAGCCAAGAATTAGTACTTCTGATCGTGTACAGTTAGTACAATTAGCCAGTGAATTGGAAGAGATGGAACATTCTGGGTAAGTTATATTTCGATCGTTAATGTAAAGGGCTTGTGGTGATAGTTAACATTTATAGACTAAATAATGAACTGATTAACTTTTCTCAAACAAGCATTGAGAACCAAGAAGCACCAAACAGCTGTTTTCCAACTGTTCTTTGTGGACTCACCGTATCCAGTATCCTGGTTTAAGGGCCTAACTTATGATTTTTATTCTCTTACTCCTGTAAAGAAAAAATGCTTTCGCTGCGTAAACGAAGTGGTTAGGACTTTCCCGACAGAGGCTAAAAGCTGTGGTCGTATGAGAGCATTTTTCGAAAACGAGAAAACTTACCCTACCCCCTGTCGTACCATGATGTCTCGAGGCTTACTAATTCGATAACTATGTTTGTTTTTTAAAATCGATATTTCATTTAGCGTTTTTTAATGCAACAATCCAAATCAGGTATTTTTTAAAGTAGAAAATTGTGTTCAGATTATATTTTCTTAAACAGTTGCATATAATAACACTTGGCTGTTACAGTAGGGATTTCAAACATCTGAAGCTCATTTCATAACTTGTTTTTACAACAGATAGCGTCCCTTTATCATCATAAGATTTGGATTTTTTCTATTTATCCTCATTCCTTGTGCAGTAAAATCGAGTAGGGGGTCGCTTAACAGATAAAACAACATGTATTCGGTTGCATGCTCTAATTTCTCCCTCCTCGTTCGCTTCGATCTAGGCAGCCAAGTGGATTGAGAATATATAATACACATATCGTGCTGTATTCGTTGGGAAGCTCCTTCAAACTATTGTAGACAGATTGGTTGATTAAAATAGTAAATAGCATAAAAAGATTTTTAAAAATGTGTCACGATTAATTTTATATCTATATTAATCAATCTAGTAACTGTTTTTCAAATATTTTCAATCTTGTTATTTATTACCTCTAATGATGAATATCTGTCTCTGGTTTTTTTCTAGGGTACATCGACGTGAAGTTACTGTAGAGATTAGTTGTGAAGGCTTTTATCGAACTGGAATACGACCAGATATACCACAATATGCATTAAATTTAGTCTCATTAATAGCTCACCTACGTTTTCATAAATCGTTGGAAAGTTTGGAGAATCGTTTGGGATATACGTTTAACGATAAGTCTCTACTACATGTAAGTCTCTGTTCTCCTGGTTTTTATGTGTATGTATATATGTTCGTATGTTTGGGAACATGTACAACATAGAACATTATTTTATATTTTATTGTTCTATATTTAATTTACATAAAATTTGGTTCAAGCGAACTGAGCACCAAAAATAGTATACATCATACAAAATAAAAAGCTAACATTATGAAGAGATAATGAAGAGAAGGAAAGTGCAATCAAAGGAATAAGTGGTCACAAACAGTACAGATAAGTTATTTGAAATTACAATCAAGGAAGACCTCTTTTAGTTTAGAGAGCTTTACTTTTATGAAGGGTGTAAAAAAATACAGCAGGACAACTACCAGCTTCTATTCTATAGCATATTTGATAATATTTCAAGCTAATCAAGTTGCACCCTGTCTGGGATCTCAACCAGCGAGTTTTGATGAACCAATAGATCCCGATTATATACAGCTTTAATTTATACCACGGTCCTATGTCGCAAATTGACAGCCTCTCTGCTTCTTCTACCCTATATCGGCGTCAGTAATTAAAACTTGATGTGGAAGCCTCTGGAATGACATTCGAAAGCATGTTTTAGCTATCGAAGCTGGTCTTTCAAGTTGGTGACATCAATTGGATTATCGTCACTCTGTCCCCGAATACATATTCCCGAACATCCACATTAACATGATTTTGGCACTGAATATCAGCAATTCTTCGGAGATAGTGACGACTGAACACAAAGCGTTGGCAAACATCCTCACCTTGGAAGGACTAAGTTTCAGAAATACAGAACAGAGCTGCCATCACAGACGTATTGTAGACCCGACCTTTTACATGCAGATTGACAAAACAACGGCGATAAAAAATAGCTCAGATTGGAACAAGTCTAAATTGTGATTATAAACGTTATATACTATTTCCCTCTATTTATTTGCCTATCCCTCTTTTTGTTTGTTTTTATAGCAATCCCTTACTCATCCATCATATCGGCGAACAAATTTCGGTACAAATCAAGATCATTTTCAAAATTCATTGGTTAGTTGCGGTCCACGTATTTTAGAATATGGCGATAAGCTAGAATTATATAAGGCATGGCGTAAAAAGGGTTTAACTAAAATGATACAGGTTATGTCATTTCTGCCAAAAATGCATGAAGAACGATCGAATATTTATGGGAATGAACGATTGGAGTTTTTAGGCGATGCAGTTGTTGAAGTTATCTCCAGGTAGTGAGTTAAATAATTTGAATTGTTGGTTAACTTCAACTCGTAAACCTTTGAAAACCAAGGGTGTGGAGCCTCAGGACTGCTGTTGTTCTGTCCGATTTGTGTGAGATATTCCGACAGTGCACTCCTACGACCTTCACCCAATAAGTAGTTATAAAAGTAGAATGGAACAGCTGTCTGTCCCCGGTGCTCGTTGGTTTTCAGTGGTTTGCCTGCTGAGGTTAATCTATATCAAAAACTTTCAAATTTAATCGATTGACGATTTTATATAACATCCCTTCATTTGGTTATTATTTCATGCGTTTTTTATTTCTTTTTTTCATTTATTCTGCTTGGGATTTATGTTCCCTCTCTGTCTCTCTAATATTTGACTTTTTACTTTCATCTGGACTTCTTTGTTACTTTCCTCTTAGTTTGTTAATATCTGATCTTAACTCATGAGCTTAGTATCCTGTCCAGACATCTCATTCTTTGGTTTCATTTACACTCTTTACTGAACTTTACTTTTCATATTTAACTATTTACTATAATTGATATTATCATGATTATTATATTCCGCTACGTTCCAAACCTTGATGATTTCCTCATTGTAATTGGGTTGATTTGAAATGAAACATGTTGGACTGGTATTCATCTGTTGCGTCAGGTTATACGTTGTTTATGTGACTTACTTATTGATTGCTTATGAAGATTATTGTTGTTTTTGTTTAGATAACTATTAGTTGTTTGTTAATTGTTCAATAATGGTTCATTTTTCATGCTAGCTCACTGAACTAATGGCTTTGAGTTCGATTTTTTACGGGACTGTGTATACAAACTACTGGAAGGTAGGTGTCCAGTAATACTAGGACGAAATAATTGTGTTCTGTACTCCCTGATTTTCAATATTACATCTTAATCGATATCATTCCTTGGTGTGCAATCACTTAGAAGGTGAATTAATTTTGACAAGACTCCTTCATCTAAACTATTAATAGTCAGCTCACCAGTTATTTACTTCTAAATGTTCCTGAAATGTGAGGTGATCGATGGAGTTCAGGTATCTCAGAAGTGAAGCAGTTCTTACCATTGGCATTGGATGGTGGTAGCCTCGCTGTATCGTGTATTGATTGAGGTTAAAATTTTACTATTAGACTCCGGTTCTCTGATTCTGGTAGTCTAGTATTCGTTTCAAGACGTAAAAGTCACGAATCTGATTGTTAGTGTGGTCCTAGATGCATACTGCCGAAGGACCCCTTTTTGTTTTAACAGCTATGTTTTTTTTTCTTAAGAATATTGCTTTTAGATAGTTTCTTTTTCCCTCCATTTACTCTCTTTTCCCCTTTTTTTGTTTATATGTATCTATATGTCCGTTCGCAGTATCCACTTATTCTTCATGTTCCCTGAATTATCCGAAGGTCATTTGGATGCGTACCGTCAAGCCATCGTTCAAAACCAACATTTAGCTGAATTAGCTGTTGTAAGTTTAGTCATTGAACACTTAGTGATTTAATCACTCAGTCATAAACGACAGAATTTAGCAAATCTGTTCATCAGTTTAAGTTGTTAACATGGCGAGATGAAACTATCAAGATAAATCTAACAGTAGTAAGAGTAATAGTAATCGTAGTGTTACTGGTGGGAGAAAACGTCAGGCATATACAATATAGTTCGAGAATAAACAACCCATTTGTCTAATAAAAAAATATAAGTTTCTTCAGATAAAGAATTCCTATGCGCTATTACGATCGATTAGACATGTTACCTAAACTTTTCTAATATTTGGTCACGGCATTTGAGCAGACTCCAATCAGGTGAATTTCATACAGTTAGTTCCCTTTATGAATTTGAATAAAGCAAGAACAAATATTGATGCAGAATAGTATGAATTCATAATATTTCGAGGTTTCTCGTCAGCTGCTTACAACCAAATATGTGATAAAAAAAGTTTTTTTTTACATTAAGATAGTGTAAAACAATTGGCATAAATAAATGTAATTAACTGGAATGGCAAAGGTTTACAATAATAACTATATATATATATATATATATATATATATATATATATATATATATATATGCTAGAACAGGTCAGAGGTTAATTGGTGTTAGAATTAAGGAAACAATTAAAGATGGGTAATGTAATAGTTGAATGGAAACTAAAATCGACAAGTCCTCTCTTCTTAGTAGCTCCAACTGCATTTACCAATTCACATGTACGTGCCAAAGCACATACATCGGAAGAACTGAGAGAAGAGTGCATATTCGAATTTCTGAGCATGTTACAAAGAACTTGAGGCTACGAGGGACTAAGGTTCTTAACAGTGCAATAGCTCGGCATTTACTGGACACCAGGTATACCATTGATATTTCACATGCTTTCAAAATTATCAATAGACAACGAAGTACTACTACTCCCCGTTTCGCGGAAGCGATTGCGATAAAAAAAACTTAAACCGGATTTATGCATTCAAAAAGAGACGTTAATAAACTTATCATTACCCTGGTAACCTTTTTTTTTTGCTTTTTTTTGTGTGTGTTTTTTATTCACTTATTTTATTTTCAAAATATTTATTTTGGGTTATATTCCCCCCATTACCTAATTCTTAAACCAACTTTTCATTCACACATTTCCGCCCACTAATCCTCTTAAATTATGTTAACCTTTCAAATTCTGTTCAATTATTACGTAACCTATCTTATCACTGTTCTATTACCTCTAAAATAATTATCACACAATATATAAACTCCATTCAACTATTACATTACCCATCTTTAATTGTTTCCTTAATTCTAACACAAATTAACCTCTGACTTGTTCTAGCATATATATTCCAGTTAATTACATTCATTTATGCCAATTGTTTTTCACTATCTTAATGTAAAAAAAAAACTTTTTTTATCACATATTTGGTTGTAAGCAGCTGACGAGAAACCTCGAAATATTATGAATTCATACTATTCTGCATCAATATTTGTTCTTGCTTTATTCAGGTGAATTTCACCTACTACCACGACCCAGCCAACTACTCTTATTGTGTGGTCGAGAGAAAGTAGCGATTGGTTGTTTATGTAGACAGACTGGTAGATAATCTGATAGGTATTAGGTGTGTCATGTATATATTTCCTTACCTCTTGTACTTACTTGATTGTCTGGCGAATCACATGTTACTGAATTGAGTTGTGTTAGTGCCTGGAAGAATAATGCTGGCTGGGTATCCAGCATAGACCACGAGTGAATCGTTTACGCAGATAAATCGTTCAGTGCTCGTCCTAAGTAGATTAGTGTTCATTCAGGGAGAATACCGAATATATTAATGTATATTCTTCCAATTACATCGGGACGATTGATTGTTGTCTAAAGTGATGATTTGCTTTATAGGATTGATCCTCCAGTGTTAAGTGAATGTAATTCAGAAGACAACTGAGTTTATATATATATTACAATTAGAATCGTAACAATCAACTATTTATGTACAAAATATTCAACTACTATTTTTGTACCATCAGATAAATATCAGTAAAAATTTAAGTTATGAACTAGTGATTCGTGCCTCAATTAGTAACAGGAAACTTAGATTTGGGACATGTCTCCCAGAATCTAACCAATCACGTAACACCAAATTGTTTTACTTATCCAAAATGAGTGAGTTCAAATTAACATCGCAGATAGTAAATTGTCACCTAGGTGCAACACCTGTGTGGTAATCACTAAAAATCATTACATTCATTTAATAGTTATTGAGAAAATTGTACTCAACATGTGTTTTTTTCCGACTTAATTTTTGTTTCCTTTTAACTGCTCAATAGTTTCAAACTCGTACATTCGAATCAATTAAATCTTGAACGGTTTTGATTTGTTTCCTATTTGTGAGCATTGTATAATACACATAGTACATTTGAATAAGTGAATATCTGATTTCATGTATCCTATGACTACTTTTATTTCGTTCAATATTTAAGAATAAATTTCTCGTAATTTTTTAGCGTCTTGGCATTCATAAATACTTGTTGTATACTCATAGTGTAGACTTTTGTTATGATTCTACATTTATCTACGCTCGATCTGATGCATTTGAAGCTTTAATGGGTAAGTTTTATCATTTTGATTATTGATGTTGTATTTATTTGTAGAATTATGTGTGTGCTCTCAATTAACAAAGGGCCTTGAACTTTGTAGATAATACATCATTATGTATATCAGCGTCTCTGATCTATTTCAAGCGACAGTTGGTAATGACACTGTAAATAGTGAAAGCAATAATTCGAAAAAATTCCATCGAACTTATATTATCAACAAATGGTATTTCGATTCACGTCTTAACAATTGACAATATAAAAGGGAAAAAACAACAATATGTACGGTGAAAAACTGGTGAATAATTTTTGATTTTTTCAGATATCTTTATTCCCAACCACCAACAATGCAAATTTTCGAACTCTAAATTAGTAATTATAAAACAGTTTTTTAGGGTTGATCCGGGTTTAAATTTTTGGACATGATCCATTTTTGAACATTAGGTACATCTACTGACGGGTCTACTGTTAATTAAAATTCACGACTTGCAGTAAAATAATTTAATATGACCCAACTATGGTCTATAACGTATGTGTGTATACGTACAGACTGATTGCACTATCTATTTGTATCCAAACTGAAGTAAGTGGTGCGGGATTAGGACCCACAACTTAGTAGTGTTTGGTAGTTAATCACTAAACTAACCCCTACAGTATGGTTCGCGAATGTTGACGATTTTTTCTTTCACAGTTTATTTGTATAACTCTACATGATTTTGTCGCTTTCTATGACTTCCTCTTCTTTTTTTAAAAATAAGCCGATTTCGTTCCCATGATAACTAATCAGTATCTGATTGAATTATCTAATTCCCTCATTTTCAAAACAGTTACAGACACTAGTACTTTTAATATTCCTGCAAATATGTTGTTAACTTCCAAAACTTTAAAATAGCACTCATCAATCTACTCAATGTTTAACGTCCCTTCTCTTTGTAGTTTCAATTGACAATGATCACTCTACAATTACCCATACGAAAGAATGGTTGAATAATTTAAGCTGATTGGTTAGATAATGGTATAAACAAGCCAACAAGATTGATTATTCAGACCACATAACAGCATAAATTAAACTATGTTGCAATTAGACTTCTGTTTCACCTAGAAATAACTGAAAATGTTGTTATTCGATCAATGCACATTTATAATTCCATTTTTCATTATATCAACTGTAATTGGTTCAATGTAACTAATCAAGCGCTTGATCGCTCATTAAGGAGGAAGAATGTATTTGTAAAATCCCAGCGAATGAATTTGTAGTAAATCTAACGTTTCGCCTGGCAAATACAAATACATTGTTCCTCTTTAATATCTCACATCAACTCGGCACCCAAATTGTGTGAAACTATTCGATCAAATGTAGACGAAAAATGTTTGATCGCTCATAATAGTGATAATGATAATATTTCGCATACTTTTGATTGGTTACTAGTTGCTATATGTGCATTGGTTAATTATACTGTAATTAATGATTATTTGTTACATGGTTTTTATTGTGCTTTATATGGTTAGTGGTATAATTGTGAAGCCTTCGTTGTCCGTTATGGACAACTCTTGATTGTCATAATGTATATCAAATGTTTTACTCATAATATATATATACATCTTAGCTGCAATCACTTTAGACGCTGGACTTGATATTGTTGATAGAATATTTGGCGCTGTTCTATTTGGTGATGATGAAAGGATTCATCGTGTTTGGGTACAAATCCCATTGCATCCATTACAGTCACAATGCCCTGAAGGTGATCGATCATGGGCAACAAAAGTTCCAATGCTTAAGGTATTCGCTCCATTATTGCTGTAATATTTTGTGTTAAATTATATCTTCAATAAACATCCATTGTTGAAAAACTTTGGTCAGTCAGTCAGTCATAAGCAACGTAGGATCTGCCTTATATGTACATTAGTTCAAGTTGTCACATCGTATCAGCCTAATAAAATTATTTAGTCAAATGCCAGACTAATAGAAATAGTAGCAATATCAATGGTAAGTAAAAAGAGTAGACATACAAAATAAACAACCTTGATACATCCTATCTAATCACACAACCTTCATGTTATAATTACTTTGATAGGTCATACATAGTTATACCAATTTTATAGGCTCATCTCATCACATGTGTATGTGTGAAAACTAACAAGGATAAGCAGACTATTTAACCTGACATATATGCAAAGCCTAACTCGGACTTTCGAATCACTGATTACAAATTAAGCTTTCCTAGTTTGTGAGTTGTCGCTCTGACATAAACGGAACGTATATTTGTAAATAATAATTCACTGAACTGCTACCTGTAGTTTTTAACAATGGATGTTTATCTTTTTTGATAATATATACGTATATAATGTTTCATTAAAATGATTTCCGATCATACTTTGGTATAATTGCCTTTTGGTTTGTATCAATAGTGAATTCCAGCCAATCAATACATGTTCTGTACAAACTGAAAGTGTTGTTCTACCAACTTGATCAATCTACCATATTTACTTGATTTTTTTGTAATAAATTTGGCAGAAATAAAATGAATTTTCTAATAAAACACTTAGAAAAGAACTTTCAAGCTATTTTCTGGTTTGTGATATTTACCCATTGATCAAGCAGTTCTATGTTCATTACTGAAAAGAATAAGGCATACAACAATAAAACTGTGGGTATATCCAACAGTTCTTGTGTTTGTATTAATTATCCTCAGAACATCTGGGAACTGATGTAGAAAAAACAATGAAAAATATGAAACAAAATGATTGTTCGCTTTGGTATGTATCATGACCAGTATAATGCTTAGAAAGTTAAATCGCCGATCGTTGTCGACTTGTGAATTCTATGAACTTCTATTTGTATTTTACGATCTATTTTTGTACCACTAATATATGGTCACAGTTATTATATGCAATTATTGATAAAAATAATTTCAAATTTACATGCTTGTATGTGGTATATGGTCATCATTGTTTACAAACTTATAATGGGTTAGTTTTCTGCATTTTTATCTATCTATCTATCTATCTATCTATCTATCTATCTATCTATCTATCTATCTATCTATATATATATATATATATATATATATATATATATATATATATATATATATATATATAGGATAAGAATTAGAATAGTTTATTATAATTGAAATCGTTTAGGAGCAACAATCACCTACAAGTTTGGTAATGTTCGACATGGTCGTTATTATGCTTTATAAGGGAAACTGAGCGACTGGATATTTTTGATTATATGATAAGTACAGTTGTTTTTCAAGGATATTCCTCTCCAGAAATCTACCCTCGCCTATTCAGGTTCTATGAAACGTGGATAATTCCAAGCACCAGACAATGTGGAACCAGAAACTCAACCTAAAAAATTTTGATAACTTTTTAAAATTATCCACATCGTAAGTACAACGAAACTTTGTGTCAGTGTAACGTTCCGTGACGAAATGTGTACATAATGTCAGGATTCATTTACCTACAATATGTGTGCTATTGACGACTTTTGATTTATTTAATAAAATGTAGTGGATTGACTGACATGACCGAATAAATAATTCTATTGGACTGACTTGTTCCCGTTATACCCGATCAAATAAGGGTTTAAGAATCCGAAAATACTAACCGGATGTCGTAAAACTATATTATAAAGTTAAAGATGCCATTTACACTTGTATAATGCTTATTCAGGACTGTATGATTTAGTTAAAAAATGAATGGTTGAAGTTAGGAATGAATGCCACAGAATGACCAATGATCTTTCAATACTTCACGTTATATTATTTTGCACTGATATTCCTTCCATGTATTCTTACGTACATTGTCTAATAGATGGTCTTTTGAATTTCTGTATAGGCCAAAACATCGAAAATGTGCAGTTTCTTTGACACTGATTCACTGTTCAGATGATAAATAATAAAACAAATGTGCAAAAAATTGCCTGTGCATACGATTCCAGTAGAAATTCCAAAGTTCAATAAAATGTGTACTAGATCAGTTCCTCTACTCAACAGAGTTTACCAATCTAAAATTGAGTTTCATTCCCTTAATTGCAAATGATCTGTGAGAAGGAGGGCGCATTATGACAATCTAGCGATAACTAAACACAAAAAGCTAGGCAAATGACTGACAATTTTCGGGGATGTCTTTTCCCATCGAAATATTTATTTAAAATGCAAAAATACTAGTACAACTGGAGATCATGATAAATCTGCACCACACAAATAGATTCTTGTGCAGTTAGCTCAGCTGAAGTAAAACAACAGTACCTCCATAATTATCGGTTGTCTCAATGCTCCCAAAAGTTGTTGATCATAATTTATCAACCTGATTGTTTTATTTTTATTTTGACATTTCCAATCCAAGGTTTCTCCTTTGAAAAAAAACAAACTATGTTCATGTAAATGTTCTCATATTTTTATTTCTGTCATTTCCTAACTAACAAACTACCATCCACTAACCCTTCTAGAAATTGTGTACATTAGAAGATACTTTGGGCATAAAATTTAAACACCTACGTGTACTTGCTCGTGCTATGACTATACGGAAAACTGGTTTTAATTTTTATACATTGTAAGTTTTTTTTAATTTCATTTAAGTGAAGAGGTTTTGTGCAAGATTGGTTTTATATGTTGGTTGTATTCATCACAGATATCAACCTTAGTTTGGGCTACCGTTTAAAACCAGTAAGTAACCTGACAGCTATTTAGTTTTCTGTAGTTCTCAGTAGCCTATACCATTAGTTCTAAAGACTATATGTTCGCTAAGAGACCTGAAGGTTCTGTATTCGGTCTCTGGTTGGGTTGTTAAACATACTGATTATAAATCTCATACGACTATCTCATGTCTTAGGAAAAAGCTTTGATTAAATGCCTGAGATAATTATAACACCTTTGGTTAGTCCCAAAATTGTTACGGGTTTATACGTTTTCATTATTGATAGTATGACATTTCCAAAGAAAACGACAATGTCATCTGTAAACATATTAATAATCTTCCTATATTGATATGGGATTGAAGTTTACGGATCGAATTGCATAGATATTTGTCCATTAACAATAAATTTGTGGTCTACACTAAACATTCAACTTTCAATCAACTAGGTCCTTTGTTCGAAACTCGCTCTTTCCGGTTTAATGTAAACAGCCGGGTTATAGTATCATTCTAGTTTTCACATAACCATTGTATTATTCGAAGTCAAATACATAAAACTTTACTTAGTAAATAATAGTAATTTCTGTTTCTTTCACGTTTCAAAATTTACAATTTAAAATATCTATATGTACCCAAATGCCCTGGTACGGCCGAGAATGAGGAGGGCCCGCTCTCCCTCTCGAAATGCTCTCACATGGCTACGCGTATACAGCCTCTGCCAGGGAGGTCCTACTTACTGCCTTCTCGTGGCAGGGGTATTGTTTGCGAAGTTGAGAAGACGAAAAGCGAATGTCCGGCGCTTTAACCGGGTCAGCGGACACGGTGAGTCCACCTAGAGGAGTTGGGAAACCCTGATTCCAAACCAGTGGTACACATAGACTCCAGTATCCTGAGGGAACAAATGACATATGAAGCAATTGTTGGTCATTGGCTGCCATGGGACTGCGTCTCTTCACGATGCTCCACCGCCTTGTGGGTCAAAGGCTCTGGGTGTGGTCCCCTAAGAAAACCACCTGCCTCGGTCTGGGCACCCGGGCAGTATCACAGCTCACACACAAATAAAATGAAATGACAATATTTCCTAGAAATACTGTTGTTCCAATTAAAATTCGGACAACTCATTTCCATTTGATAACATTCATTTTTAATTTTTTATATACTACATCACTTATATGCTCTTTTATTCCCACATTGCGTATCCTTATTTTTCAACTTATACATCAGCTCGCCTATGGCGGAAACTCGGTTCTATTTAAACGTTCTCGAGTCACTGCCTGGTTGAAAATTGAATGCTACCACCAAACAAGCATACTGAAGCAGTTTTTCTGAAACCACGTGCATCATTCCAACTGGCTGCCTTCAACGTTCGCACATTAATTCAGATTGGACAACAGATACGGTTGACTAGGTCTTTAGAAAGTCTTAATATCGACGTTTGTTGTTTATCCGAGACCTGTATTCAAGACTGGTGAAGTACTCCATCTGTCGCTTCAAAAGGCTTGTTTTACGTGTGTTTATCCGGGGACCCTGTGGCATCTTCGTCTGGTCTTGCTGGCGTTGGTGTCGCACTAAGCGCTAGAGCTGAGTCAGCACTAATCGATTGGACCCCCTTAACAGTCGGTTACGTGCTGTTAGATTAGAAAGTTCCATCAAAGTGAGAAGAAATTGCCGTGAGAAACGATGCCTTTTCGTCATCGCCTATGCTCCGACAGATTGCAGCCCGGTTGCAATCAAGGATGTGTTTTCTAACCACTTAACTGTTTTCCAGAAAGTGAGATATTGTAGTACTATCCGCCTGTAGCCCTTTTCCGGGGGCTACTGCCAGTCCCAAGCCCGGATAAAGGAGGAGGGTTGGGCATGGGGTTAGCGACCCCATCCCGTACAAAACTAACTCGCTAAAAAAACGCTAACCAGAAAAAATTATTCAAACCATTTAAACTCTGCCCTGGGAGTTAGGAGGTCTTCGTTTAGAAGAATTATGACGCCTCATGATGAAAGCCGAGTTTCTTAGGAAGTCACGAGGCCGATGCCCCTTCTGACAACCAGAGCAACCATTTATTTAGGTACATGGAATGCTCGCACAATGTGGGAGAGTTTTCCAAATTGCTGCAGAAATGAGGAGATACAATTTAGAGGTGCTTGGGATCAGTGAAACACATTAGACGCAAGCTGGACAACAACGACTAGCTTCAGTGAAGCTTCTGTTATACTCCGGCCATGAAGAAGAAAATGCCCCATATACACAAGGAGTTGCATTGATGCTGTCTAAACAAGCACAAAATGCACTTATAGGATGGGAATCTCATGGACCGAGGATCATCAAAGCCTCCTTCAAAACAAAGAAAACGGGGATTACAATGAACGTCATCCAATGCTACGCACCTACCAATGACTACAATGAAGACGTTAAAGATCAATTCTACGATAGGCTGCAGTCAATCGTCGAGAAGTGCCCAACAAAAGACCTGACTATTCTGATGGGAGACCTAAATGCCAAGGTTGGAATTGACAACACCGGATATGAAGACATCATGGAACGACACGGACTGGGAGAAAGGAACGAAAATGGTGAGAGATTTGCAAATCTATGTGCCTTCAATAAACTGGTCATAGGCGGGACTATATTCCCACATAAACGCATACACAAAACCACATGGACTTCACCGGATCACAGCACACAGAACCAAATCGACCATATCTGCATCAACAAAAAGTTCAGGAGGACGATGGAGGACGTGAGAACAAAGAGAGGAGCTGATATAGCATCAGATCATCACTTGCTGGTCGCCAAGATGAAATTGAAACTCAAGAGGCACTGGACAACGGGGAGGACAATATCACAAAAGTTTAATACGACTCTTCTTCGGGAACAAGAAGGCAGCGATCAGTACCAGTCGAACAAGAGCAGAAAAAGCCAAGGCACAGGCTGAATACACAGAAGTAAACAAGCAAGTGAAAAGGAGCATCAGAACTGACAAACGTAAATATGTGAAAGATTTGGCATTGACGGCGGAAAAGGCTGCGAGAGAAGGAAACATGAGACAACTGTATGAAACAACAAAGAAACTCTCTGGAAATCACCGTAAACCAGAACGACCAGTGAAAAGCACGGAAGGCAAGCTAATCACCAACATTGAAGAACAACGGAACAGGTGGGTAGAACACTTCAAAAACTCTTGAATCGACCAGCCCCACTGAACCCACCCAACATCGAAGCAGCACTCACGGACCTCCCAATCCATGCTGGCCCACCAACATTTGAAGAGATCAGCATGACTATCAGACAAATCAAGAGTGGCAAATCAACAGGACTAGACAGCATTCCAGCAGAGGCAATGAAAGCAGACGTAGCGGCAACTGCAAGGATACTCCAAACTCTCTTTAGAAAGATCTCGGATGAGGAACAAGTACCAAAAGACTGGAAAGAAGGACTTCTAGTCAAAATACCAAAGAAAGGCGATCTCAGCAACTGTGACAACTACAGGGGAATCACTCTTCTTTCAATACCAGGAAAAGTCTTCAACAGGGTATTGTTAAACAGGATGAAGGACTCCGTAGACGCACAACATCGCGATCAACAGGCAGGATTCCGTAAGGATAGATCGTGCACAGACCAAATCGCAACTCTACGGATCATTGTGGAACAATCAATTGAATGGAATTCATCACTCTATATCAACTTCATCGACTACGAAAAAGCATTTGATAGCGTGGACAGAACAACACTATGGAAGCTTCTTCGACACTATGGTGTGCCTCAGAAGATTGTCAATATCATATAGAATTCCTATGATGGATTAAACTGCAAAATCGTTCATGGAGGACAGTTGACAAAGTCGTTCGAAGTAAAGACCGGTGTCAGGCAAGGTTGCTTACTCTCACCCTTTCTCTTTCTCCTGGTGATCGATTGGATTATGAAGGAAAGCACGGGATACAGTGGACAACTAGAATGCAGTTGGATGATCTAGACTTCACAGATGATCAAGCTCTTCTATCGCAAACGCAACAACAAATGCAGGAGAAGACAACCAGTGTAGCAGCAGCCTCAGCAGCAATAGGTCTCACTATACACAAAGGGAAAAGCAAGATTCTTCGATACAACACAGCATGTACCAATCCAATCACAATTGACGGAGAAGCTTTGGAAGATGTAAAAACCTTTACATATTTGGGCAGTATCATCGATGAACACGGTGGATCTGATGCAGATGTGAAGGCACGGATTGGCAAAGCAAGAGCAGCATATTTACAACTGAAGAATATCTGGAACTCAAAACAATTGGCAACCAACACCAAGGTCAGAACTTTCAATACAAATGTGAAGACAGTTCTAATGTATGGGGCCGAAACCTGGAAAACTACGAAAGCCATCATCCAGAAGATACAAGTGTTTGTTAACAGTTGTCTACGCAAAATACTTCAGATCCGTTGGCCGGACACTATTAGCAACAACCTACTGTGGGAGAGAACAAACCAGATCTCAGCAGAGGAAAAAATCAGGAAGAAGCGCTGGAAGTGGATTGGACACACATTGAGGAAAACACCCAACTGCGTTACAAGACAAGCCCTCATATGGAATCCTCAAGGTCGAAGGAGGAGAGGAAGACCAAAGAATACATTACGCCGGGAAATGGAGATAGATATGAGAAAAATGAACAAGAATTGGATGGAACTAGAAAAGAAGGCCCAGGACAGAGTGGATTGTAGAATGCTGGTCGGCGGCCTATGCTCCATTGGGAGTAACAGGCGTAAGTAAGTAAGTAAGTAATCCAGAGACTTGGATGCTCAGGTCGGACGTTTAGGCACAGAAGAGAGTCGTTTAGGTGACCGATGGGGACTTTTTGGTCGCAGGACAGATGACGGGGCCCGTCTACTGCAACTGTGCACAGATCACATCCTGTTTCTGGCTGGCACTAACTTTCGGCGCAGTCATCGCCGATGTGCCACCTGGCGTCGCCCCTCTGCATCTCAAACCTGGATTCTAATTGATCAAATCGCGATCAGCTACCGCTGGCGTAGTTGTGTACAAGACTGTCGCTCCTTTTGGAGTACCTATCTGCACTCTGATCATGCCCTGGTCTGCGCCAATCTTACCTTACTTTTCAGTGGTCAACGGATTGATATCACTGAATTGGTTGCAACTTCTGTTGCAAGTAATTATCGAACCGAGCTAGCTACCATTCCACCGAAAAGTATAGATGAGCATTAGTTGCTACTGCATAACGCCATGAAAATGGTGAGTAAAGCCGCTTGCGGCTTCGAAACGTCCCGCTTGTAAGCGCTTAGTTTCTTCAGGCTCTTTACAACTCATCGAAGCCCGTCGGTCTACTCCGAATGACCGTGAGTTTGACCACAAACGAAGGATGTTACGTAATGAAATTGGACAAAGCTTGCGTAAGGACCGAGAAGCCTGGTGATCGGAGCATGTTAATGACTTGGAAGTGGCAGCTGAATCTGGCAACTGCCGGAAGCTCTTGCAACTCACCCGAGCCACTGGCAGCAAGAAGTCTGGTGTGAGCGAAACAATCTGTGAGGATGACGGAACGCCAACAATTAACATCCTCATTAGTCCTTAGCACTGATAGGATTCTATCTATCAAGCTGCTATATAGCCACCAGTCTAAATAATTCGAAATCGCATCCATTATATTTTTAAGTTAAAAATAGTCGTAAGTAGTTAGCGGTAAATGTTTAATTTAGGTTTCGTACTAGTTGTCCCTTTTCAACAAGGTGTATCTGGGATCCTGTAGGGACCAATGTTTCCTGTAAGATTCGAACTCACATCACCCAAATTCATAATCCGGAATGTTATCGCTAAGCTGTTCAAAGTATGACTAGTACAAAACCTTGATCATACAGATTTTATCACCAAACAATTCCAACCACCATTGTTGTCTCGCAAAAATTCATAGAACCCAGCTTCGTGATAGAATGTAAGCTATTTAAAACACCGTCTGATGAGTCCATTAGACGTTTATCTGATATAATTATCAAATAATTTAAAACAAACCTAAAATCTGAAAATTTATTGCAATGTTTGCACATTTTGAAAAAAGATGATTAGAAACAATTAGTTAATTAATCAGTTTCAGACTAAAACAGAAAAGGGAAGCTTTTCTTTCTCATATTTATCGCTTTTATTTTTTCTATTCGACTGTCAATGGTATTTTATGATGTAATATCCTTCTCTTATTTTTATTCGTTTCTATTTTGTTTATTTGTATTAATTTTTAGGGGAGATAATCAACGTTTAGAATTTCTTGGTGATTCTTTGTTAAAATATGTATCAACAGATTATTTATTTCGACATTTTCCACGACATCATGAAGGACATTTATCATTGTTAAAAAATTCACTAGTGAATAAATATACACAGGCATCTGTATGCAGTGAGTTAGGCTTAGAAAATTATGTTATACGTCGTGAAGATAATAGTATGCATAAATACGATTGTAACATTAATAATTACAATACTACTAATAATAACATGTCGAAACATTCAAATCCTTCTTGGAATACTACTTATATAAGTAGTCAAAACTCAAATATACTCAAATCTAAACAAAATAAAAAAGGTGGTCAAAAACAAGTTATTAATTCAGATGGAAATAAAAATGGCAATTGTAATAATCCACAAAATCAGAATGTAAAATACAGAGCTGATTTATTGGAAGGTAATTATGAATTTTGTTTACTGATACCATCATCATTGTTGTTGTTGCAAAACTCATTTGCAAAGTATAATGTGTATGTACTCAATCTAGTGATGTGGTATATTTTGTTTATATGTTCTAAATGTTTATTCAAACTGAGTTTTAGGTAGAATGGGAAGTTCAGCTGTGCAGTACATAATGGTTTAAGGTCAAATATTTTAAGTATGAAGTCTTGACAGGATCGAACAAAACAATCTATCGTTTTATCGGGCACTGGGCTTTAAGGAATTAGGAGAAGGATTGACTGTCAGCATGTTGGACACAACAGCATTCTGAGCAATTTTATATTTTTGCTGATCAATCAAGTGATAAGTTTTGTACTCGGAATACTTTAAATAAACTTCTTACTTACTTACGCCTGTTACTCCCAATGGAGCATAGGCCGCCGACCAGCATTCTACAATCCACTTTGTCCTGGGCCTTCTTTTCTAGTTCCATCCAATTCTTGTTCATTTTTCTCATATCTATCTCCATTTCCCGGCGTAATGTATTCTTTGGTCTTCCTCTCCTCCTTCGACCTTGAGGATTCCATATGAGGGCTTGTCTTGTAACGCAGTTGGGTGTTTTCCTCAATGTGTGTCCAATCCACTTCCAGCGCTTCTTCCTGATTTTTTCCTCTGCTGAGATCTGGTTTGTTCTCTCCCACAGTAGGTTGTTGCTAATAGTGTCCGGCCAACGGATCTGAAGTATTTTGCGTAGACAACTGTTAACAAACACTTGTATCTTCTGGATGATGGCTTTCGTAGTTTTCCAGGTTTCGGCCCCATACATTAGAACTGTCTTCACATTTGTATTGAAAGTTCTGACCTTGGTGTTGGTTGCCAATTGTTTTGAGTTCCAGATATTCTTCAGTTGTAAATATGCTGCTCTTGCTTTGCCAATCCGTGCCTTCACATCTGCATCAGATCCACCGTGTTCATCGATGATACTGCCCAAATATGTAAAGGTTTTTACATCTTCCAAAGCTTCTCCGTCAATTGTGATTGGATTGGTACATGCTGTGTTGTATCGAAGAATCTTGCTTTTCCCTTTGTGTATAGTGAGACCTATTGCTGCTGAGGCTGCTGCTACACTGGTTGTCTTCTCCTGCATTTGTTGTTGCGTTTGCGATAGAAGAGCTTGATCATCTGTGAAGTCTAGATCATCCAACTGCATTCTAGTTGTCCACTGTATCCCGTGCTTTCCTTCATAATCCAATCGATCACCAGGAGAAAGAGAAAGGGTGAGAGTAAGCAACCTTGCCTGACACCGGTCTTTACTTCGAACGACTTTGTCAACTGTCCTCCATGAACGATTTTGCAGTTTAATCCATCATAGGAATTCTATATGATATTGACAATCTTCTGAGGCACACCATAGTGTCGAAGAAGCTTCCATAGTGTTGTTCTGTCCACGCTATCAAATGCTTTTTCGTAGTCGATGAAGTTGATATAGAGTGATGAATTCCATTCAATTGATTGTTCCACAATGATCCGTAGAGTTGCGATTTGGTCTGTGCACGATCTATCCTTACGGAATCCTGCCTGTTGATCGCGATGTTGTGCGTCTACGGAGTCCTTCATCCTGTTTAACAATACCCTGTTGAAGACTTTTCCTGGTATTGAAAGAAGAGTGATTCCCCTGTAGTTGTCACAGTTGCTGAGATCGCCTTTCTTTGGTATTTTGACTAGAAGTCCTTCTTTCCAGTCTTTTGGTACTTGTTCCTCATCCGAGATCTTTCTAAAGAGAGTTTGGAGTATCCTTGCAGTTGCCGCTACGTCTGCTTTCATTGCCTCTGCTGGAATGCTGTCTAGTCCTGTTGATTTGCCACTCTTGATTTGTCTGATAGTCATGCTGATCTCTTCAAATGTTGGTGGGCCAGCATGGATTGGGAGGTCCGTGAGTGCTGCTTCGATGTTGGGTGGGTTCAGTGGGGCTGGTCGATTCAAGAGTTTTTGAAGTGTTCTACCCACCTGTTCCGTTGTTCTTCAATGTTGGTGATTAGCTTGCCTTCCGTGCTTTTCACTGGTCGTTCTGGTTTACGGTGATTTCCAGAGAGTTTCTTTGTTGTTTCATACAGTTGTCTCATGTTTCCTTCTCTCGCAGCCTTTTCCGCCGTCAATGCCAAATCTTTCACATATTTACGTTTGTCAGTTCTGATGCTCCTTTTCACTTGCTTGTTTACTTCTGTGTATTCAGCCTGTGCCTTGGCTTTTTCTGCTCTTGTTCGACTGGTACTGATCGCTGCCTTCTTGTTCCCGAAGAAGAGTCGTATTAAACTTTTGTGATATTGTCCTCCCCGTTGTCCAGTGCCTCTTGAGTTTCAATTTCATCTTGGCGACCAGCAAGTGATGATCTGATGCTATATCAGCTCCTCTCTTTGTTCTCACGTCCTCCATCGTCCTCCTGAACTTTTTGTTGATGCAGATATGGTCGATTTGGTTCTGTGTGCTGTGATCCGGTGAAGTCCATGTGGTTTCGTGTATGCGTTTATGTGGGAATATAGTCCCGCCTATGACCAGTTTATTGAAGGCACATAGATTTGCAAATCTCTCACCATTTTCGTTCCTTTCTCCCAGTCCGTGTCGTTCCATGATGTCTTCATATCCGGTGTTGTCAATTCCAACCTTGGCATTTAGGTCTCCCATCAGAATAGTCAGGTCTTTTGTTGGGCACTTCTCGACGATTGACTGCAGCCTATCGTAGAATTGATCTTTAACGTCTTCATTGTAGTCATTGGTAGGTGCGTAGCATTGGATGACGTTCATTGTAATCCCCGTTTTCTTTGTTTTGAAGGAGGCTTTGATGATCCTCGGTCCATGAGATTCCCATCCTATAAGTGCATTTTGTGCTTGTTTAGACAGCATCAATGCAACTCCTTGTGTATATGGGGCATTTTCTTCTTCATGGCCGGAGTATAACAGAAGCTTCACTGAAGCTAGTCGTTGTTGTCCAGCTTGCGTCTAATGTGTTTCACTGATCCCAAGCACCTCTAAATTGTATCTCCTCATTTCTGCAGCAATTTGGAAAACTCTCCCACATTGTGCGAGCATTCCATGTACCTAAATAAATGGTTGCTCTGGTTGTCAGAAGGGGCATCGGCCTCGTGACTTCCTAAGAAACTCGGCTTTCATCATGAGGCGTCATAATTCTTCTAAACGAAGACCTCCTAACTCCCAGGGCAGAGTTTAAATGGTTTGAATAATTTTTTCTGGTTAGCGTTTTTTTAGCGAGTTAGTTTTGTACGGGATGGGGTCGCTAACCCCATGCCCAACCCTCCTCCTTTATCCGGGCTTGGGACCGGCAGTAGCCCCCTGAAAGGGACTCCAGGCGGAGTCGAGTGAAATCTTTGACTCGTTAACACCCCCTTCCTTCAACGGAAAAGAATTAGGCGAGAAATATGAAAACTGTATTTCAATGATAAAATTATATTCAGCAAACAAAGTTATTTTTAGGACTACGTTGAAATTCAAAGTTTTGAGAAAAATGTCAAGTTTGGTAACAAGTTTGTGGTAATTGTTTAATCAAATTGACTCATGATCTCAAGCATTAACTCTATTATAATATCCACAAAACTCCTTCTGATACTAAGCGTAATACCTGTTTCGGTTTGAGCACCCGGGCAGTATCACAGCCCTCACACAAATCAACTGAGATTCGTGTGGCGCATATGTATTTGGTGCCTCCTTGTACCAATACTTATGTGTTAAAATAAATAAATAAATAAGCGTAAGTAATTTTCCTTTCTTAGACATGTTCCATCATCTTGGAATGTCCAAAATATTCGTAAATTTTTTCACTGACTTCTGAAGACTTTTTTGTGGAGTTACGCGATGGTTTCTAACATTGTAGGTGCTCATTGTGTTGACAAGTCGCAGATTTAAGGAACAATAAACATCTCATCCTCTTTGACAGTGTTTCTCAGAATGAAGCTAATTCGTAGCGAATATTACATAGATGCTAATGTACGTATGTTTATTTCCAGATGTTCAGACTGAATTAAAATGTTTGAGCGTTTATAACTAGTTTGATTAGTCATTTTTAGTGTCGTATACAATTAACTTGACTAAAAATTGTAAGTTCATATCAATTTTAATGCATAACGGTGACTGTATGTAATGTTGTTGTAAGTTTATGACTCCGTAATATCAACGAATCAAGTGTTGTTTGAATGAAATAGTGTGTTATTATTATTTGACATTGTTCATACTTTGATTTCATTCGCTCGCTTGTTATGAATATTACCATTACACAACGTTAAAATTGCCTTATTTAAAGCCTCACATTACAAACTAACGTTCGTTACATAACTGTTAAAAACCAGATAGTACTGAATAGTGGCTTTGTTCTAGTCTTAAGGAATCTAAGCTTTGCGAATTGACGACTACACAGAGTATCAAACTTAGGGCCTCCAATTCTCACACCAAGCATCTTACTTTCAGACCATTAAGTCAGCGTATACAATAGTTTAGGCCACCAACTCCTATTAATTCACAATACTGTGCGACTATCATCAATTTCTGATATTTATCACATATCTGATATCGTTGAACTGTAGTGTCGGTTGCTATGTTAAACCCACACAACTTATTCAAGCTTCTAGACAAACTAATTTATTCTTCTTGAGTCTGTTGGGGACGGTAGATCGCTAAAAACTCATAGTTTGTAATTTTATCTTGTGGAGCTTGTATGCAGATGTATACGTGGGCATTTCTTACCACCCACGCATATAGTCGATTGATGAATTTATCGATCAAATGTTTAAATAATTCAATGGCAGTCAATTGACGAACTATCGATTAGATGTTTAAAAGCTCCATGGCAATATCGATGTATACATATTTGTATATATACGTTTAAAATTGTCTTTGTAAAAAAAACGCTGGTTTCCTGGTTGTTGCAGAATATACTTCTCCATTCTAAGCTTGGCTTTCTCTCTCTAGATAGTGGGGCTGGGACGTTCATTAGCTAGCTCACTGGACCTCGATCATCAAACCTCGTTCTCGTTCGCAATCTAAGTGAACTCGTTAAGCTTCAAACCTAACAGAGTCACATATTGACGTTGTCAATTATTCGCTTATCATCCTTGACTCTTTTTATATGAGCGTGTGTGTGGACCTCTTTTCCTATTCATCACATGTCTGTAACTTATTTTAGTCTGATTATAAATATTGATTAACGCTTGACTAAATTGAGTTGCTTCACACGCCATCTCCACTGCGCGTCATTTCGCTTCGCTTCTCTAATCTTTTGTCTAGATCATCGATTGTATGAAGAATACGTATTCGAAATTCATTCTCATATTTGACTTATCTAATTCCGCTGTTCACCAACGCGATTTAAGTCGATGATAATATACGAGAGTAGTCAGGATGTATATTTCGACAGCAATTATTTGATAGCAATCAGAAACGATCCAAATTGAGTCATATATAGGGCCTCTAAATCACTGTATTAATCACGGCCTCCCAGCAGAATTCCGGAGATTATCTTTTGAAATCAATGACTGTTCAGTATATGGTGGTTTTTATTGTAGGGTGTTATAGAAACTGTTGAACTTGAGGTTTAATAACATGAACTGAATTATTTTGCTGTTATTAGTGTTGTTTTGACTTTTTCCCCTTTCATCTCGTCATCTCCTTTATTGATGTGAAATGCAAATGAACCGACGCACACTTTGTTTACTTACTGTCTATCTGACTGACAGATTATCAAATAACCATTATGCCATATATCTATAGTGATATAACAATTTTAATTCATAACGTTTAAGAAACGTCTATTACATAATATCACTGTTTCTCTGTTTTTCCTCGTCATATTTTTAAAATTTTCGCTTTAGCATTTATTGGTGCATTATTTGTCGATAAAGATTTAACATGGGTTGAACGTTTTTGTCAAATATGTTTCTGGCCACGTCTTGTTGAGTTTATTTTAAAACAAGAATGGAATGATGCCAAATCAAAATTACAACAATGTTGTCTTACATTTCGTTCATTAAATGAAGATCCAGAAATTGCACATTATAAAGTTAGTCTTCAAATGAAAACTCTACTTTTCGTTTTACTACCGTACTCTATTGAATTAAAACAAAGCTTATAAAATTTTTCTTTCCATTTGTGATTATACACTTGTTTCATATGCGTTTTGATTGCTCAAAATGTCCCTGGGAATAACGAGAACCCTTGCTTTTCTGTTATTTTGTCAAATCATATTTTATCAGTATGGGAATTTGTGGAGATTGTAGTATTCGCACAATTGAAATAACGAACCAATCTAAGGTAGAACACCGTTGAAAACCTGAAAATTCTGGACAGCCGTTTCTTTCTAGTAGTATAGGGCTACTCAGTAGGGAGCACCCACGATCCCGCACGCAGGACTCGAAACAAGGACATTCGGTCTCGTTTATGAACGCTTAACATTTAGACCACTCAATCGACATCCAACGATGTTCATGTCTAACTTCATTAAAACCATAATCCTGCTTAACACTTCATGCATTGCCTGAGGTAGATAACCATCTCACGCCCCTTTTTAAAATTATATATGTATATCGTTGTTCCGGTTCTTCCCGTTCCCAACGTCCCTTACCTCATATTGTATTATATTTCAATGTTACAGTTTAATATTAATCTACTTGTAAGCAGTTGAAGAGAAACTACAAAATACAATATGTTCATTTATCTTGACTCAATTGTTGTTTTGACTTTATTCAAAGGAGTAAAAATATGAAATAAGACTGTTCCAATTCCAAATAAACGTGGATTTAAAATAAGACAAACGACGAATAATACTGTTTGTAATTTGTTTAGTCAAGATCAGTTCACCATGCCAACCATAATGATAGGATCGGTTGACGAATAAAGACAATCATGAGACACTCATTTACAAACGAGACCGAAGGTCCTTGGTTTGAGTCCTGCGTGCGGGATCGCGAATGCGCACTGCTGAATAGCCCTATACTACTAGAACGAGACGGCTGTCCATCACTTCCAGGTTTTCAGTGATGGTCTAGCTTAGATCGGCTCATTATTTAAACTGTGTGAAAATTTTCATATCTCTGTTACAATTGTGTCCATAGTAGATTTGAAATGATTAACAATGTTTTGTAGCTCAGGATGAGGATACTAAACGTGTTTTCTTTCTGAGCTTCTCAGAGACCAGCAAAGACGATTTCTTCTGAATTCACTTAATCAATAATCATCTGAACAGGTAATTAGCGATCACAAAATACAATATGCTACCCACGTTCGAAGTTTTCATAAATACAAGTTTAAACTTGTGACCAAATGGCTTCATTCAGAAGGTTCGCTTAGTTCAGTTAACGTTCAATATCAACAACAGGTAAATACAAACGACTTAATTACTTCTACTGTTTTTCTATGGTTTTTTCTGGTATCAGCTTTTGTTGACAATTTATCTTGAATTTAGAAAGACAGAATGCCTTGTATTGATTAGTAGAATAATGTGCAACATTTTGAATAACTTATTATTCTCTTATATTATGTTGTTATCTTTATTAGGTTTTAGAACATAGTGGGCCAACTAATCAACGTGTTTATCGTGTTGGTGTTTATTTTCGTGGTCAACGATTAGCAACTGGTGAAGGTCGCTCTGTTCAACAAGCTCAAATGGAAGCAGCTAAAAAGGCATTGGAATTACATCAAGGTGAGTATTATTAGTAGCAGTCGTCTGTTGAAATATATATCATACAATGTTGATTTGTCTGTTGCGCGAACATTCGCTTGTGAAACCAGTTTTCAAGTTGTTTTGATGAATTTTCGTATTTTACACAATTTGTAAATAGAATACACGAATTGAGTTTTTAAAGTTTTGCTGAAACTTGGGTAAAACTTTCAAGAAAACCATGAAATGTTGTTAGCTATTAACGGAGATAACAGTGTAATAATCTTTTTTTTTCAAATAGACTAGATGTTTTACTAAACACTATAAGAACTAAAAAAATGGTATGAAACCATAACTACTATTAACCTCCTGTCATGATGGGAACTTTGAATACGTACAGTCTGTTGTGTCTGTTTTCTTTTTCGCAAAATCTCCGTTGCCGATTTGTTGTGTCTTTATGGCCTGCTAGTTATCATGTAATTTATTCACCGATCAAAATACGACTTATTTGCCCTTGTACTGTACTAAACCAATGACGTTCGTTCGGTCTGATCAGCCTAGCGTCCCATTGGTCCGTTGCCTTGCTAGCCCGTCCAGCTGAGTCCAGAATGCCAACAACAGCCTCCACTATGCGAATCATTTATTTCAGATATACTGGGGTAGAGATCAACCAAACAGACCGCAACGCACCATAAAATAGGAAATAACATTTATACACCATAAAGCCAAAATGTGGCTGTGATTGTGGGAGACTAACTATTTAAAATTGGTATAATTTAATAACAGTAAATCGTACAATAATAATCTAAAGTCAAAATGAAGCTTGTAATAAGGGGAATATAAATGTGCACAATCTAATTGCTAAATAGTTATACCATAAGAATATGTAGATAATATTTGTCCATTAATAGGTCTTAGAAGTTACTCGTAATTTAATCTTCGCTAGGATATAACACAGTCTTTTTGGCTTTATAATCGCCAGTCAACCGTTACAGTGGTTGTTCAAGCAAAGAGTTCAGCAAAACCTTTTATGGACAGGATTATGGCGAAACATGGAACATTTCCCATGAAAAATCAAGTATCTGACTCCGGTGAACTTTTAGGTTGTGTAGTGAAATCACCATCCTTATGTCACGGTATCTTACTAAAGTTTTAGAGCATTCATATTGGAGATACTCACGAATTTACCAGATACAGAATCGTGTACCTGGCTTCAAGCTACACTTTAATTGTGCAGGATAGTGGTACCAACCATTTCTGTAGACCAAAGTATATGAAGCCGGGTTCGATCCTGCAACTTAGTGGTCGCAAGTTGGGCGTTTTAATTAATGAACCATTTAAGTATATTGTTTGAAGACAATTATTATAAGAAAATTGATATCACTTGATAAACCACTGGAAACTAGAGAGCACTGAGTCTGTTTCATTTTAGTGTTCTCACCACCGATTCGCCAGAGATTGTGTCCAGAACCTGTAGATGTGGTAGCGGGTACATGGTTTATTTCTAAAAGCGTTGGAATTTCAGCCCATAATTCACAGAACGAAGACCTGATCCGCTTACTTCGGTCTTGATAATCAGGTAATATCAATAGCTAAGTGCACGGATCTGTTCGTGGTAAGTGGGCAGTCACAATTTCTCATTAAAACTCTAGTGAATTTGTTTCAAAGTTAATTATCAGGCAATAGCTAATTAGTGATTGTTTCTATTAAACTACATTTTGGCTTTGGAAACTATCTTCAAACAAACCAATCAGTACGAATCTCTAATTTGAATAATTAAGTTGTGACCACTGATTTATCCGTTTCCAGATTGAACTCAGTGTGCTGAGCAAAAATGATAAATTGGTTCATAAAATACCAAATCCTGACCAACTGAAGTCATTGTAACACGCGTTATGAATGGCCAATTACCCTCTACCTTGATACACGATATTGACTGGGCTACTAGAGTAAGTTGCAGGAAAGCAAACAGTTAGCAAGCCAAAACATAGCATCAACTCATGAAATCATTGACTGTTTAACTAAACCGTGTTTGCAGGTGCCAACCACCTGGTCGCAGTTCCTTCGCTTGTCGTGACCAATAGTCGAAAATATTGTGACATGACTTAAAATCAACCTCAGTGAAGCTCGATTATTTACAAATTTTCTTCCGTTAGATCCTGAATTTTAACATTATTTCATATTTTTTCTCGATACTACAGATTTATTGTTTCGTCTCGAAGCATATTGTATTTATGTAATCTTTTTTTACCATTACTGATACAAATAGTTCGATTACTTCAGCATTCGTCTCGTTGTGCCGATTGTATAGTGCATAACAATCTGGATCAATGCACTTATGAGCTAGGCTCTTTTTTATTTGAATAAACGACGAAATAAATCCATTTACTTCATTTAACGTTGAACACTATCTCGAAATTTTTTAAATTTTAAACAGATACATTTCGTCAATTGGATTTTCAACGTTCAGTTATTTCAAAACGATATAAACAACCTTATATTAATAAAATATTGGATCAAGTACAAAATTGGGATGAACAATTAGTGGAATATTTTATTTCAGATAAACCTACATCTACAACAGTTATGTCAACCTTGACTTCAAATACTACTACGAATAATAATAATAATAATAATAAAATTACTCCTATAAATACTGATAGAATGAGTAATAGTGAAAACCAAACAATGAAACGATCATTTCTATCAAAACACAATGACGATACCAATAGAGAATTATTATTGTATAGAAGTAGTAAACGTCGTTGTTTTGACAAAAACATTTCTAATCAAAATACATGTACAAATGAAAAAACATCATATCTCTCCGCCGTATCATCAGCATCAACATTTGGCACTTCTCCTTCAATATATCTATTATCACAGACGTTAACTTCAATTGATAATAATGAGGTTGATATTGCAATGATCGACAGTAAAACAAAACGACTGAACGCGGTCGAAGACATAGAAAAAAAGAACGAAGAATTGTTTGCTGTATTAAATAACAACGACAATGATGACGTCGAAGACAATAGAAACGAAAAAGATGAGGAGGAAGAAGGTGAGATTGTAGAAGACGATGATGATGACTATTGTGATGATTCTGGTAATGATATCCCGAATGAAAAACATTGTAAATGTAAATTAATTTTAAAATGAAAAAATAGGCAAAACATTGGAACACTGTGTATCCTAATCGTTGTAAATACTACTATTAATAAAAGTGATAATGATGGGTGCCAACCCTAAGTAGTCGAATGCAGTTTACTCTCTTTTCATTTGTTCGACTTTTCCTTTTTGTAGAGTCAACGAATTATGCGAATTTTTCTTCTTGCTTAACTTAGAAAAATTCATTTCTTATTGAGGGAAGAAAGTGATCGATTGATGTTGAACTACTGTTTTATATTTTTACGAACTTAATTATATTACGCAATTTTGTATTGTCATTCTTAAAATACATTCATAATCTTGATATACAAATAGTGTAGTTTCATAAGTGATTGTTCATTAGTAATTGAAATGGTTGACGGGTGTGTCTCATGATTGTCTTTATTCGTCAACCGATCCTATCATTATGGTTGGCATGGTGAACTGATCTTGACTAAACAAATTACAAACAGTATTATTCGTCGTTTGTCTTATTTTAAATCCACGTTTATTTGGAATTGGAACAGTCTTATTTCATATTTTTACTCCTTTGAATAAAGTCAAGATAAATGAACATATTGTATTTTGTAGTTTCTCTTCAACTGCTTACAAGTAGATTAATATTAAACTGTAACATTGAAATATATTACAATATGAGGTAAGGGACGTTGGGAACGGGAAGAACCGGAACAACGATATATGTATAGAATTTTACAAAGTAAGGGGAATGAGGAAGTAATTTTTGGTTATATCTTTTGATGTAGTTGCTTTAAGGTGTCCAAAATATACTATATTTTGTAAGCCTATTAACTGAATATGACTCATTCGTGTGTGTATAATTAGATAAATTAAGTATCATTCCTAATGGAATATATTCAACGAAATTAGGCAAAACTAAGTACAATGGGTCACCCTAACGAGCATCAGTTGGGGTTACCATTTAGGATGTTAGTTCATCAGAAGTTGTGATTCGAGCATTCGTTTCTAAAATATAAAGCTTCGGAAAGTTATCCTACTTTCTCAGTGCACATTTCTGTGAAATATGTTGCGATACAACTTCTCTATCAAATCGAATGCCGGTTTGAGGTCAAGTAATATGGCTATCATCGAGCATCGATTTATGCATGTTTTAAAACCTACCAGAATGTAAAAACTTAATCAATAAGCTTAAGACCAGGTCTAAAATCGGCCTGTTTTTCTCAGATTTGCTATTTATAATCTTTGTTCATATGTTCAGCGACTACGAAGGTTGATATTTTGAGTATTGTATTTGTCAAACTAATTCCTTTGTGAGAATTACAAAAGGATTCCTACATATTTTACGATCAAAAATTGAGACCAGTTAGGTTAAATAATGTCCAGCTACCAAACTTAATTTTTAGTCAAATGAACTACTTAAACTATGTCGCCATCCTTGGGGATCTTCGGGGTTAATTCATCAGGTCATTTAGCTCTTCCACGCTTTAGATTAAATATGGTGTTTCTAAATTTGTATGGATTTCCCATTCCGATTGTTTGGAAATATTAGGTAACATGAGAGTAACCGGATGGAGATTTAACTATTTCTCCAAGTGTTCTATACGTTCTGGCTTAATGAACTGTGAGTGAATCATTGTCTCGTCTTTTTCTAAAATAATCTAATTAATAACTAACTGTTACTTCTTACATTTGTGAGTCAGATTTATCTTAAGGGTTACCTAATACGTCTGCTTTTCAAATCTCATCACGTACAACAGCACTCAGTCACTGGAGATTTTTTATCACTCAGCGTTTCAATTTTCAACATCTGAGGGTGGTCGAGATTACAAGATGTTTCTCAGATAACAGACAATTCGCTAACCCTCAACGCGTTACTCTATTGAAAATATTGTATTACAATACAGATGACTTAGACCAACTTTAGTGAACATGATGTGTGACTTGTTGGAGTTTATGAGTTGTTAACAATAACATCCTGTAACGTAGCTCTGCGTTACTGACAAGGCGTAGAACGTATTTGACACAACACCCTTTACTGCTGTCGTGAAATAAAAGAAAATGGAACATAAACTGACAGAATACATTATTTTTCACAAATACTACCCGTAACGAGAACGAATATACTTATACCACTTGGACAATAATAAGTAATATACCACGAAATAGAAAACAAAGAGAAAGATAGTTTTAAAAAGACGCGAAACAAGACCTAAAAATTACAAAGACGAAAAGTACATTAAAACATTCCAGACTCTGATAAAGATTCTAGAACTGACTCGGAAGTATTCAAACTTAATTCATAGTTAAAACCATCATCATAAGGTTTATGATATGAAGGTAATAGAATACGATTAAAAAGCCTTTTAAAAAGTACAAAATATAAACGAAATGATTTTTTCTTGACATCGTAATCAGCCATTTCATGCTTATCAATAAGGCATAGAAATTTTACCCAATTTAAAAGTATACCAAAATCATGCGGATTACGATAAATCAGTCCACGTTGTTTTAATATTTTAGTGAATTTTGCATTGATATGTCGTTCAATACTTGTCTCACCATTACTAATTAAGTATGTATGCCAAGTGCATAGAGCAATTACTAAAGGAACTGCAATTACACTGAAAATGAAACATCCTTTGAACAATTCAATGAAGAATTTATTCGATGGTAAATATGTGTTATGGTTGAACCAAATCGATGAATACTTTACAGTAGTATTGATCTAAAAATTAAAAATAAACATCTGAATGTAATACAACACATTTTTAATATATGGCTAGATTATTATTATTATTCTACAGAGATCTAATGAGTTGTGATTTTTTATGAAAACGAAGTTGGAAGTGTAAAGGATTGTCCACAGGTATAATAAGATGACCACATAGAACATAAATTATTGAATCCCGAAAAACTGCCTCAATAGTAAACTTTTTGTCAAGAAGTACAAAAGCTATAGGTCTAATTCTATATCGATCCGTGGATATATAATCATATAGAATATAGTGTAACCCAGCATCAAAATATCAAGGGCTTATATTGAATAATTTTCAGAAATTCAGTGTAACAATTATCAATTTTTATCATATCCAATTAAAATATACGTAATCAGGAAACTATAGCTTATGTTTTTAAAATTTAATCTTAACTCTATCGGCACTATTAAATGTGAACTGGTAGGAAAAGATCTTGATATATATGAGTTGTTGAACCAAGTACAACTGAGAGAGTATAACCAAATAGATATAGAAGATATAAGATCTGGGACAGACCTACATCGGTTTAAGTTATTACACTGATACTTAGATCCAGTATTATTCACTAAGCTACTGGGGTCAAATAATTATTCAGTAGGAAGACATTATTGGTAACAGTTTGAATTTTTCTGTAACTGAATATCAGCAGATGCTAAATAAAAATCCTTAGTAATAAGAGATATAACTCGAAAAAAAGTGAATAAAGTCGTATGATGAAAGTTGCGGAATGGCGAGACTATAATTTATGGACGAGACAATCAGAAGCGTTTTCAAGGTCACGGCACCAATTTTAGTACCTGATGCTCGAATACGGCCGGTTCACAGCGGTTTTTAGAGAAAACGTGATAATTGAGCGGCTACAACAAATGGGACTACCAAAAAATTTCTTTGCTCGTGATTGTGGTAATCAAATGACTTGTGCGGACTACCGTGATGTTGTCTTTCGATGTAATGTGTCGGAGGAAATATACTGTTAGAGTAGGGTTTTTTCGCTCGATACAGATTTAGACTAAGGTAAATTATGACAATTGTCGCGAATTGGATAATAAAAGCGCCAGTAACACTGGTTGCAGCCAGGTACTACAATATATACGGAGGATTGGAGAGCGCATAGATGTCTTTATAGACTTGGTTATGTGCATCGTTTTGTACAATATAGTTTATTCTATACTAGCTATTTTCTGATTGGTTAATATTTCTCAAGGTTACTTAAAACTCGTTCAAAGGTCGTCCATAAATTATAATCTCGGCGATTTTTCTAATTGGTTCCGTATTTTTATCAGGTCATTGCGAGCCTTTTCCCAAGTAACTCAGAGTAGACAGTAGCTCAAAATACGTGACATATCCATCCATCACAGTTGACAACTAATTACTATTTCCTCAGTTGTGTGATCACCTTGAACCAGTATTATGCGCTTAACGTAACTGTTGTCTATTCTGTCGTTTTACTGTACGAACAACAGGTACACACTTTCTCAACTACAAGCTCAACCAAAAAAACAATCACACCACAAGGGGTTTGTGGAGATTGCTGAATACTAACGTTTAAATCTTGGATTGATTTTAGTGAGACAAATATTAAAAACCATTTGATCTTTTACGACCAACTAATCATTATAATACACACCCCGCCATCCAATCTTGACAATATACTAGAATTTTCAAAGAAATATTTTTTTCACTTCATACTAGTCAAACTTACTTGATTTTGATTAATTTCCACTAAGTAGTTTCGAAAGTCTGACCAACCAACAGTTAGCAAATATATCCCACCAATACTCATAAATATCAATACTAAAAAAAAATGCCGATGTGTATACAAACCAATACAATTAGCTGTCCATGGACAATGATGATCCATACATAATATACACGTTTTACATATAGCACAATGATGTGCTCTTATTGGACGTGATACAAAACATCGTGAACATATAGTATTAGTATTACTAGTAGTATTATATGGAATTTGTGATACATTGCCGGGATTAATGAAAACAGCAGATAAATAATGGAAATAAATATTGACGATGATTAGATGACTTAATGTAAAATGTAACAAAAACCATGTACCCTCAGTATGTAAACTACACTTGATCGAATTATATTCATTATATAAATAACATGAATTCAAAATGAAAAGACGACGTGGTAACAACACTGTATACAATAAACATAGAATCAAGCATAAATAAGTTAATACTAATGCGACTAGAGTTCGGCCGAAATTTTTTCGACCACCAAGGTATAACGAGAAACAATTTAAAATTGGTCCTAATATAAAAATTGTGTAAATGGTTGATATAAAATCTAAAAGCCAATCAATACATTGATAAATAGATTGGGGGGATGATAAATTTCTGTTTAGGTTAATCATCATTATATCTGGCATGTATAAACGAATTAAACATTTTAAAATGTAAATGTGGTCAGAGAAAAATGTAATTTTCATTATTCCAGAAAGAAAATGCAGAAATAGAGCTGAAAAATTGACAGAAAACAAAGAGAGCAGTAAGTTAGGGTTTTTGCGAGAAATTACCGAACAATTTACCATTTTTACAGTGATTATTTATTTGTTTAAACAGAAAAATATTAGTGCAAAGGGGCACTAAATATATATGCACCACACTTCATCATTCGATTGGTGTGAGGGCTAAGATACTGCCCGCGTACCCAAACAGAAGCAGGTGGTTTTTTTAGGCCACTCCTTGAGCCTTTCACCTAGAGGCACTAGAACGTTAGGAGATGCAGTCCCATGGTAGCCGGTCACCAACAATAGATTCAAACACCATTTGTTCCCTCAGGATCCTGGGGCCTGTGTGCACTACTGCTTTGGAATCAAGGTTTTCCATCCCCTCTTGGTGGATCCTCGATGTCTATTACCCTGGCTAAAGCACTGGAGATCCGCTTTTCGACCTTTTAATTTCGTAAACAACACCCTCGCCGCGAGAATAGTGAGTAGAACATCCCTGGCAGTAGCTGTACACACGTGGCCATGTAAGAGCATTTAGAGAGGGAGAGAGGACTCTCCCCAGCGTCGGCCGTACCAGGGTATTTGGGGGATTATATCCTAACCATAGAATTTTATTGCCAAAGTTCAACGGTCATAAAAGTCCGACTTTGGCCGTTTTTTTATAAGCGAATAAATACTAAGACTTATGGTTGCTAGTACCAATTGCTTTACATTGTCACTAACAGACTACGAATTGAAATCCATGTAGGTGACCAAAGTTCATTTGAGTGGGGAGGGAATGGTGCAACCCCCAAGATTACGTCGAAGTTACACCTCACGGTTAATAACCTAATATAGATTACCCTTTCGTAATACTCAAGACCTACGGCTATATCGATAACTGCATAGAACAAACATGACCGTACTAAGGAAATGTATTATGGAAAAGTAGAGAAACGTATATTAGAGACACGGCTGCATAAGCCAGTCTATGGTATGCACCTAAGTAGTTTGCACTAGCTACCCTTGACCTTGACAATATTCGACACTACAATGCTTAGTGAATTGTCGTATAATGTAGAAAAGATTTAGCTTCACAGCTGACTTGACTATGGCTAAGTGGGATTTTACCGGCCCTACACACTTATTATACTTTAAAACTTAGAGCCCCTCACTAAAATTTTCATACATATATACTTTATTTTAATGACCTATTAGTAATTGAATTACTGACTGTTTGAACAAAGAAGCTTCATTCATCTAAAAAAGATATAACCAGTAATGGACTCATCAAAGTAAACAATTGTTGTAACAAAACAGAATAGCAACCATTGTCGGATAAAAATAAACTAAAGATTTTGCATATACTGACCTAGAACTGTGTATCCAATATATTGTACTGGCCAAACTATCAAAATGTGTGAACACCTAAGGAGTACGTAAAAACCGCAATAAAAATACATTTTCCTGTTTATTAATCAATACTTGACTGATATATATGCAGTAACTTTTTAGCTTGAGTTTAAGCTGATAAATGTTTGCCTTTAACACAAAATTATCAACCTTCCATACTGATTTACCTATAACATACCTATTAATTATTTCATATCTACAATCGGCAAAAATAACTACTTGAAGAAATTTATAGCTAAATATTTTTATATTACAAGTGTTCTCTACTACCAAAGATCAGGAGTACACAAAGAGAGAAAACATGTGCATAGTACTCGAGGTCCAGCTATAGGTACAGAAAGTTCCCCAAAACGGTTGTAGGAAGTTAACATTTTTATAACTATTCGTAGACATCCATTTGTAACCATCTTTACGGATATATTTGAGGCTTTATTGGCAAGAAATGTGATCTTTATCGTAGTGAAGAATAGTTTATAAAGAAAAAGCAGCCCAAAAACTATTCAACACTTAAGGTTAATCTCGAACGTCCCAATAAATTTAACTAGCCGAACGCGAACGGCGAAAATCGATGACATGTACCCTCATGTTAATCGACACTACAATCGATTACTAAAAGAAGGTAAAACTACCGGAAGAGAAACAACTGTCTTAAAAAGCCGGTGACTGGGTCCATTTTGAACACCATTAAACAAACATTTCAGTTTTCAGTAATGAGGATAGGAGGTCTATCGACCTATATTAATCCTTGCAGTTTGTAATACTGTGAAGGTCCAATCTCGTTCTGAATATATCAACATAAGGTGCTGATATTACGTGTTCCAGTAGAGAATTCCAATAATTCACTACTCGAAGAGAGAAACGAAACTCCAGACGTAAACGATTTGATCTCGGTTTTTGAATTTCTTTTCGAGTGTCCTCTCAAACGATCAGTCCTAGACGGAAGTAAAAGATAGGACAAGTTAATACCAAGGTCATCGTTCAGTATACGATAAGCCAATATTAGATCACCCCGTATTCGACGGTAAGATAACGGAAATAAGTTGAGGTGTCTCAATCTGTCTTCATAAGATAGTTCAGATAGACCTTGTACCATCTTAATACCTCGTCGTTGGACTCGCTCTAGCATATCTGCTTCATACTTGAAACAAGGACTCGCTGCTTGAATTCCATATTCTAAATGTGGTCGCACATAAATTGAGTATAGTAATCTAAACATTTCATCATCTAAATACTAGAAATACCTACGAATAGACCATAATACCCTATAGCCTTTCGCAGCAGCAGCCTTACAGTGATTAGTGGTTTTGAGATCACTGCTTAAAATGACTCCTAAATCTTTATACTTTCTTACTTTGAGTAGTACGAATCCACATATTGTATATTGATACGATTCATCATTGTTATTTAAATGCATCAACACACTCTTATTAGGATTTACTTTAAGTGACCACCTGTCTAACCATGCCACCAATGAGCTAAGATCATTCTGTAATACTATTCTATCCGACATATTGTGTATGGGTCTCCAAATTTTTATGTCATCAGTGAAGAGTAGAACGGATGATTTAGCTACAGTTGGTAATTCCTTTACATAAAATAAAAAGAGAAGAGGACCGAGGATTTTACCTTGGGGAACTCCACTTTTTACAGGTACTCACGATGAAAGAGCCCCATTAACCCTTACCCTTTGTCTCCTGTCATGGAGAAAGTTACTACTGTATAATGGATTCCGAAGCGTTCCAGTTTGAATTTAAGACCAGAATGGGAGACCCTATCGAAAGCCTTACTTAGATCTATGAAGATCACATCTACAGGAATATTCTGATCTTTTGCAGCAGCCCAATCTTCTCTTGCAATGAGAAGATTTGTCAAGCACGATAGGCCTCTCCAAAAACCATGTTGTTCCCTGGAGAAAAGATTATGCCCTTCAACATAGTTTATAACAGATATCCGAATGATTTTTTCCATCAGTTTTACAACTGCACTAGTTAAGCTAACGGCTCTATAGTTACTAACTAAATCCCAGTCTCTGGGCAGTCTGGACTGCCTCAGAGACATATCGAACAGTATCGCTAATGGTTCAGCAATTACATCTGATATGGCTTTCATGATCCTAGGATGAATATTATCAGGACCACTGGACTTATCAGGTTTGAGATGCTGAAGTAGCCTTAAAACAGTACCTTCCTCAATGATCACAGGATCCATCAGCGAGCCGCCACGATCACAGTGAATCGTTGGTTGTTCCTCATTAGTGATAGAAAACACTACTGAAATATTCCGATAAAGCTTCAGCTTTTTCGATATCATTTTCTGCCAACATTAACAGATTTTCTCGTATCAAAAGTGATGGAATTCCATCGTTTCTCTGAGTGCGCCTTTTTATATACGAGAATAACCGTTTCAGATTATATCTAGAATCCCTAACCAATTGTTTTTCATATGATCGTCTAGTCTTACTTATTAACGCGTTACAGGCATTCCTAGTCTTACAATAACGGGATCTGTATTGTTCTAAGCCAGTAGAGATGAACATATCCCAGTGCTTCTTCTAAGAAGTTTCTTGACTGGTTTAGTTATTCATAGTGGAATGTTATTCGGTCTTCGCGGTACCAGGTATGGTATGAACGAGGACGTAACTAAACTAAACTTACCCTTAAATACAGACTATGCTTCTTCAACTGATAAGCTAGTGTGTACAAACCAATTTGTCTTAGCAGTGCATTCCTGAATGGCTGATATATTAGCTTTCCATACCTTTAGGCGGGGTATGACCTGATCGCATAACATGTCCCTAGTTCTAAACGAAAATAACAAAACAGCGTGATCACTGTTCACTAACGGTGGAAGAACATTTAGATCGACAATATTTTCAGTATCATAAGTGATTACCAAGTCCAACAGAAAAGAACCTTGATTAGCACCAAAACGTGTGGGTTTGGATGAATGCTGCACTAATGCATGCTCCATTATTGTTATCAGGAACCTACTATCAAAGGAGTTTATAGATTTTTCCGTGGTCATCTCAGTCCAACTAATGTCAGGTGCATTAAAGCCTCCTATTATCAAGCATCTGGTATTTGCACTCCAAAGATGAATGTGCTTTAAAATAAAGCCATCAGCTGAGCAGATTGGGCTGAGATAGATGACACCGAGCATAAATGTACTACATCCGATAGCCAATTTACAGCTAATGACTTCACAAGTACCGCTGTCATAAGATTCGCTAGCAGAGGAGCGGATATTTATATTATTGGCTATATATAACAAGACGCCACCTCCTTTTCTACATCTATGTCTATCGCTCCTTAGGTAATAGTATCCGGATAATTCTGGAGTAATTTCTAAGTCATGGACTAACCAAGTTTCTGTCACTGCCACAATGAATGGCCTTAATCTGTCCACCAATGCTTCTAGTTCATAGGACTTATTTCTTAGGCTACGAGCGTTGGCATATAAAACTCCTAGGTCTGTATGGTCGGGATTAAGCACTGTCTTCGGTCCTCTTGCCTATTCTAACCAGTTTTTTGAACTGAACTCCTTTAGAGTTATCTGGTAAGATACTACGAATATATTCTCCCAACTTCTCTAAATCATGCGCGTATCTAATTTTGGGATTAGGGTCGTTTGACTCCAGCGATTTGCTTACAATAATATTCGATGATAGTAGATTCCTCTTTTCAGTCACGCCAGGTTGGGTTTCCCTCTCACTATCAGATTTTGGTAGTGCATTTTGTGACCCACAATGGAAGTCCACCAGTCACTTGCTAACCACCTGCGTACTGCCCAAAGCTCTTTTCTTTTCGCTTCGTTTTTTTCATCTCTCAGGACACCGAGACTATTTGGAACAGTGACGGTCTTATTCAGATCTTCAGTTTCCACTAAGGTGCATGGTTACCAATGTCAGCGTCAGGTGGTACCTATTCCCTCGTTAATGCTAACGGAGATTTCACTTTTCCGTCAATCAAAGTCGGGTGTTTGAGGCGTCTCGTAACAGCAGGTACTACACTGATGCATTCGTCATTGTTAGTGCTTGTGTTATCAGCGCATGCGCCATCGTTCTTCTTACAGGCCAAAGCCAGTAGGCTCATAGCTTCCTGTATTAGTGACGTTTTATTTGCACAGCAAAACACGCAAAGCCGATGTGAGTTAGGCTTCGAACATCTTTTGTATGCATTGGGACTTAAATGGGTGCACAACTTATGGAACCACCTTTCGCATTTATCACACTGCATTCCTTCCTCCACAGGAAACAAACAGTGTGGTTGTCCAGATTTGTGAGTATTACCAACCAACACAATTTGATCACAGTATGAACAGAAGTATCAGTCAATGAGTAAAAGGGTACCACAAGACAAACTTTAGCAAGATTTAAAACCTTAACTAAAGAACTTTGATATAGACCAAGAATGCTGTTGATGCAACAATTACACAAAAGCAAGGATAATCACAAGTACAAAATCACTGCCCTTTGATAACGCAAGCAAACAAAAAGGGAAACTACACATAAACACGGGGGGTAGAAGGGAAACGCGTTAGAAATTCCTTTTCTCGTCTGCATGGGGAAACAGTGCGATACTTTCCCTTATTATCACTGGATTGTCTACATCTCCCCGGACGTAAATCGTCGAATCAGTCAATCCAACTACCATAATTAAGTACTTAATTGTTAACCACTTTGCTTTTTATCGCGAGGTTTATCACTTAAAGTAAAATGACACAGAAACTTAAACGATCCAACATAATGTTAAAGCTATTATATTACAAATTACCAGTACTCCCAAGAGATAAGATTTCATTGGACATTAGGTTTTGGCATAAAAATCAACTCACTTCGGAGAATTGTTAAGAACTTGCATAGAATTCCGTAAACAGTCCACACGATTGAAATCATTATAACTATTTGCATTATAATATTATGTATGTATGCATAATAAATACGTACATGGTTCTTTGACTCATAATGTTTCTATCCCCAGAAGAATAAAAACAAAACTTAGAATTAAACTAATAGAATGGTTTGTAAAAACTGCACAACTAGTAACTGGATGAATAATACTATTTTACCAGCACATATCTGCTGGTCAAGAAAGCCATGACTGCAATTAAACTCAACTCCATTTCGTAATTTCGGCAGACCATTTAGCGACCAATCAGAGTAAAGCGGAAATTATCGTTTCCTCCATCTTTGTAAGCAATGATGATCGGCTTGCATCATTCCCCCATTTCTTTATTTTGTGGGAAATTTTATTTGTTTTGGGGAAGTCACCATAAATAATTTTGAGGAAATAGCACAAAAATCCAAAATTTTGAGTTTTTTCCCTATATTTCCCCAGAATTTTCGACAACTTGGGAGAAACCATCTACGTCCTGTAATCAAACCTCAATATTCAAGGATTCGTATTTCCTCAAGCGTTTTTTAAAGGGAATGCGTAACTTGAGGTGTTTATGCTGTCGCTGTGTCTGTCCTCTACATCCATGGATGAGCTTTGGCCTTGGGCAGCCAGTTCGTTTATCTTGCCAGACAATTCAATAACTGCTTTCAGAATCATTTTCAGTGCTTTACTGTCATCATTGTGCAACCTTTTGCTATTATGTTTACATTTACTCTAACTTACGGTTTACTAACTACCGTTGGAGTAGATGGAAGTGGTGATGAGAACACCAGCTTTCGATGATCTACTTTATGAGCATGTGTTCAATAGGTACTTAGCTATAGGTGAAAGGTTCCCAGTCAAATTGTTAGGAATTGGAAAGTTGACTGGGATACATTCAGCTTTCATTTCACCAAACTCCAGTTCTCCACAGATGGACAAGTGGTCGTTCATTTTTCGTTCGACAACCCTAACAATTAATGAATGACGCATGTTTATCTGTTCGCGTCTTCGGCTTCTCAGTTCCACACGGCAATGTGTCATCCTCAGGTGTAATTGTGCTTTTGTAACCGAGCACTGTAGTGAAAGATACTTTCCGTCCCTCGCCTGTGTGGTAATCATCTGAGATCAGTGATTTCGAAGTGACGACAACACCACAATGATGCAATACGGTGCATGATTTCAAGGAGAAGCGACTATCTGGCTTCATATGATCAAGAACATTTGTCTCAGTAACATCATCCATGTAGACAAAAAGTTCGTTGTTCAACAGGCATTTGCTAGGCAGGACTAAAACTTACTTTTTTTCTTTGTCGTTAACCACGATTTACTGTCCGGATTGATGCTAAAAATCATTGGCATAGCTTTAGAAATTATAAATTCATTACCTCCATGAACTCCAGACCATTCGTAATAACTTTACGGTGAACAGTGCCAAAACAATAACCAGCATGCGGACCTACTTCACCAATTTTTCATATTTGCGGCAGGTCTTGATAAATGATGTCACCCTGTCTATGGAAATGTATGCCATATGTGGACGATAACCTTGTGGTATTTTGTCGGTATACAGCTACGCTTGTAAAGTGTATCTTCCAGCGTAATCCATGTTTACTCGTGGCTCATAATAGAACAATTGAATATACCTGTAGTACCGAAGAGAAAAAGGGCAATAAAGAAAGTCGAAGGGTTATGGAATACCCTAAAACTAATCCTACCTCCATCAGCAATTTTCGTGATGAACGCTAGTTGACTGTTTGCAAGTAAAATGTTGTTAGGCCTGGCATTTGACAACTTTGAATTTCTGCGGGTAATGATTTCCTTAGAGAAATCATAACTGACTTCACGCTCAGTCACATTATCTGACACACCCTGATTCAATGAAATTTGTAAGTAAACTTCTCCGCATATTGCTGTGCAGCTTGTCCAGCCGCCGTAAATTGGCGGTTCTCTGAACGTCTAAGTTTTTCGCATGTAAGATCCAAAAGGAAATGCAGAAAATGATTCTAGACTAGCATGTTCAACAACGTGCTTTAAATCATGTATATTATAGACTAGGTGCTCCCTACCGTAGCAGTTTTTATATCCCAATAAGAAACTATTCAGATTATCACGAAAATTGTTGGAGAAGACAGCGCAACTTTGGTTGCGATATTAAGTAGACTGATAATGATAGACATTAGACGATACTGTACAATGCTGATGCTAACTTATCATGAAGAACTACATGACCTGAGTACAATAAAAAACCTGCATTCAGTTGCTTTTCAAACAGAAACTTCGGTTCTGACGGAAAAACTTTCAAAATATTTTGTGGCAAATTTTCTAATGAACTTCTACCGCGATGATGAATTGTTTGGGGCCTACCATGTGTTTTTCCGGAGTTTTCTTGGTGTAGTTGCGTAATATAATGTTTTGGTGTGCTGAAATTTCTGAATTTTCATAATACTTTGAGTGCTGATCCAAATATTTTTGATTTCGTTATGTTTGCTTGGCTTTCTGTACTACTGATCAAGTGACTGTATTTCTTCAGGTAATCACTCTTATTCACGCGGCAAAATTTTTCCTGTTTGCTCTTTGTATAATTTTGCAGATTTTGGAAACCAGAGTTAGTTTTTTAACAACAATATGTGTTGCTAACGCCTGGAATTCTCTAAATGTCTGCATATTCGTTCCTAAATGTTATTTATTTTGTCAAGAGCAATGAAAGACAAAGAACACCAGTTTTTTTATTTTCTTCAGCATCACGGGTATGTAGATCGACAAGATAGATGATATATATTGAATAATTGGATGCTTATTCGAGTTAGACAGGAGCGGCTATCTTTGAATTCACATCTCATGGTCAGCATCTAATGTGGACTACTCTTTCGTCGAATCAAGGAACTATTGTAGTGAAGTAGAACACAGGTGAGAACAACGGAATTATATTTAGCATGAAATTACAGCGTTACTTGGTAAAATAGAAAAACCATACTATAATATTTAATTTGCAAAATGTCCAATTATTGTCTCGAACTTCATTGTTCTTGCATTTCCATACTAATTGCTTTCTATTTCCGTTCTTCCTTTCTTGAACTTCTCCATCTTCTACTGCTAGACATTACATTCCTGACTCGCGTTACATAGTACTTAGGTCAGTAAAAGTAGTACGCACCACACTATGGTGACTTTGAAGACCGCATAACATAAAGGATGCTATTACCGAAATTTATTAATAAGAATGGATACAGGGAAGATAATGTGTAAACAACCGCATAGTCCAGTTCTTAGCTGTCGGGGAAATCCAAAAAATTCCTCAAAAAATACCAAAAGTGCTCTGAAAACGCTGAGAGTCCTTATATCCGATTAGCATTCAATAGACATTTTGCCAGAAACATCTACAAAGTCACATGCCGCGCTTCTGATTGAATGATTATTTATACTGCTGCTATGTTTTGTAGCTTTCCGGAAGCCAAAGGCTATCTAAATGTCATAAATACAGTAGATTTTCTGTGCACAAACGAATCTTGAGGCAGAACTTCCTTTCCGTATTTCATACCTTTTCTCTAGTGTTCACGTTGCTGTGTAGACTTGACCTGGAGGTTACTTAAAGAGCTTAGGAAACCGAATCAACCATTAAATTAGAAGATTTATCAGTTGAGTACGATTAATTGCCGCACGTTGGTTGTCCTTGACTTTAGGTGGAGTCGACGAACGTGGTAACCCAAATGTCAGGTGATTTGGCTTGTGTCCAAAGACATTTAGCTGGCCGTATGGATAACCTTATCCCATCAACGAGTCAAACTGACGATAAGTGTCCAGTAGTAGTGGATACCGGTGATTTTTCGTGAGGATTATTAGACCTAGGCACTTGACAACATGCGACTAAGTCATAGGTGTTATTAACTTACTGCGAGAAGTTTTTTATATAAAATATGCCATATAACATTATTATATGGGTCGAGCGCATTACGTCGAGAGTAGAAGCAAGCTTGAAACCCATTACCAGTATATGTTGTACGTTTGTTGTTTTCGGCCATAAATGGAAGTCGGAGGGGTATGATCAGGGAGAAAATGGGTTAATAAATTTCATTATACTCACTTTTTTATAGATCATGTTTCAGTGGTTGCAAAGCCATGTTTTGTTTGTGGTATGATATCAGGCAGTATATAATGGCTTCGTTTAAGATGACCAACAACCATCCTTGTGATGAAAAGCGCCTCACAACTGATTTATGGTTTAGAAGATCAAATGATGATCGGTCGCAAGATATTATGCCCACGATAGAAACTGAGAGTGATCCTGAACAGATTGTTAAGTGTGTAGTTGACCATTTCGGAAAGACTCACCGTTCGATGTCAATAAATTGAAATATAAAGTTGACAAACGTTTTTATTATAGGTCTATAGCTTTTTGGGTTATGGATGTTTGAGTGGTGTTCTAACGGCTTAGGTTGATTAGTTAAGAGTTGACCTCAAACAACTAAGTATATATCAAAACAATAGTGCTCAAGTATTCATTCACTTCCTTATTTTGTACAGACATTATGTTTCCTATTATTTTATATTGAATGCTGAAAAGCTTTGTGTGTTTGAACAGGTGATCTCCGGCTCTAATGTGCCTGCAACGCGATTTAAATGAAAACCTTGTAACAGCGTTAAGACCGTCATGTATATAGTTGTTAATAGATTCTGTTTTTCCTTCTATTGCAGGGCGACCAAGAATAAATGCTTTGGAAGAAGAAGAGTAAGCTCTGCATGCACTGAGCCTACAGGGTGACTCATAAGACTGTTTTGTAAACCAGCTCCCCCCTCTGTACATAACCCGCGGATTTTAATTTTAAAATAAACGACTGGTGGTTTCCATTCCGTGTTCTCTCTGTGGTGTGAAGTGCTCGGTTAACATTGCGTGTGTTGTGCTTTCAGATTTTCTCGCCTTTCAGTGACTGCTGATTACACATGTTACAACCTGTTCACTGCTATTTTGATCTCTTCTCTTAGAAGAACGAGGGTTATCACCGGGTACGAAATTGTTGAGACATGTTGAATGTAA